TTCTAAATCTTTTATAGGTTAGATCGATTTGGGATTTTGTATAGGTTATAATGACTCGAACTCACATGTTAAACCTTGTAGGAGTAGAGGGAGAGGTTAGATCGATTCGGGACCTTGTATAGGTTAAAATGATTTGAACTTACATGTAAAGCCTACTAAGAGTAGGGGGGGAGCAAGGTAAAGAAATCTCCGCATCTAAATGTTTGTAGTATAATAGTTATACAGACATTATATAAGCATATAGATGTATAGTAAGGTGAGTAAAATCAAATGTTAAGGATGTAAACAACTAATTTTGCTTGTATCAAGCTTTTATTTTGTAAAGGTAGTCAAGCTATTTCTAGAGATTATTTTATTTTTATTATTTTTGGGTGTGTGTATAGAGATTAAAGAAAACCACTAAGGAGTGTTTGATAAAGTTGAAAATACGATTTGACTCTACATTTTGAATATCGTTGCTAAAGTTGTACAAAATAATCAATTACGGAGTAATTAAGAGTTTATTCCTTATACAGTTATACGGTATAGGAGTGTTTTTTTTGGGTCGACTTGACTCAGAGACCCAAACCTAGATGGGCCGAATTCTATTTGCCCCACCAATAATATGATATTGTAAATTACAATGCATTGAAGATGTAAATTGGAAAAGATGTCGAGTATTATAAGCTAATTATGTGTGATCTCAATCTCTTGATTTGATGCCCAAGTTGAAAGGAAAATGTCAAACAATAACCTTTATTTTATTTTTTATGGGTTCTGAGGATGGCTATTCTATTACGGTGCCTCCCTTTCTATCTATAGTTTCTGTCCCGACATTTCCTGTCTTCATTTGCATGTTGGTGTTGCATTTTATTTTTTACAAATTAAATCATCAATTATTATAACTTATTTGCACGTCTATGAATTGTATTTTCATCTCATTTTCTTTTATCAATTTTTTGTTGCACAATATTAAGTTTAGTGTGGTTTCAAAAAAAAATATATATTAAGTTTAGTGTTATAAATAGAAATCCATTTATTATAAGTTATTTGCATATCTATGAATTGTATTTTCATCTCATTTTCTTCTATCAAGTTTTTGTTGCACATTATTCAGTTTAGAGTTATAAATAGAAATCCAATTATTCATCTTACTATTACTTTTGGTGTTGTCAATATCATGACCTATTTTAATCAAAAGGACTAACAATAATAGCCTTATGAAGGGTTAAAGGGCTTATCTTCATACTTCATAAGGCCCGACTTTTGACTAAATTATCATAAATGCCTCTAATCATGGTAGAAAGTACATTTTACGTCATTATCATATCCTTACAAGTACTCCGTAAAAAGTTAACACCATAACTCTGATTATATTTTTTTTGATACTCAAACATTTTCCTCTACTTTGTAACTATTAAAATCCATCTTCTTTAAAGTTGTGTTAAGGCATCATAAAAGTATTTTGATGTAAACGAAATTTGATCCTGGATCTTGAGTATCATCTCCTAAGACTTTTATACAATTCAATCATCACAACTCTGGGAACAATATGTGTCTAGTAGGAGTCATATTCACTTCCACATACCACACCCTCAAACATGTTATGCCGTATGAAAGGATTTACGTGATTCAACTAATACCTATATTACCTTCACACAAACTTCACTTGAAAACAAATTATCATTATTGAAAGGTAAGATATGCAAGCATATATATATCCTCTTTGTCAAAGAAATGGAGTAGATTCTTGTACTAGATTTAAAAAAAAACCTTATTACTATTACTAAACATAGACATAAAAATAAGCCCTGACTTTTAGTTGCAGAACAATTGTATATATGTAGGAATAAGGTGAAAATTTGTACTATACAAGTTAATAAATTTGTCACTATATGTGGTATTCCTTGTTCATATAGACTGAGCATTAACTGTCGGACCAAGAATTCATTAAATTCGTCCCACCCAAATTCATAAATTGCCAAACTTTTGTCCAAAATTGCAATGAATTGCAATGATTTCAAGTGTGAACTTTCTCATATATATATAAGTTAAGGAAATTTGTGTAAGTGATGATGCTATTGGCCCCCTTTCATGGCATGGTAACGAACCCTTTTCTTAGTAATGAAATTGAAACTGGGTAGGACTTCAATGGCTTTGTGTATGAGTATATTTTGTCTTTTGAGATTATAAGTCAAAAAGAGAAGTTTTGCAAGGACATGAATTGCATTATTTGAATAAAATGAAACTTGAAAACAAAAGAGATTTATCGTATTAGGGACCCTAATTTGGAAGTTTGTTGTGCATCAAGGAGGAGGAGGGGTTTTTTAACCACCTACTAGAATTGTTAAAACGGATGCAAGTTAGGTTTCGTTTTAAATCTTGATTGTTCGAGGTTAAGCTATCACTAATTCACCGCTATAGGAGATTGGGAGAACTAATGTGTGGATAGTAAGAGTTACAATAGTGTAATAATTTATGTGATAAAGAAGTGAGGATCATTGGATAAGAAAAAAACTACTCTGTATATAGTGGTTATTTTTTTTACTAACTTATCCTACCGGTATAAGTTTTTATGAATACTTTTATACTCTAGTACTTAAAATAACTAATCCACCATGTGGCATATCATACATATTAATGTTATTGAATTAAAAAATCATTGTCCCGAGATCTCAAATTAGTTATTCTATTTAACTTTTTAAAGTTAAATTTATGAAATTTAACTGCATCATGTGAATTCTTGTTGGATTTGTTTAATAAAATACTCAATAATTTTATCAAATTTAAGTGCATTTTTCTTTTTTCACTGTTAAATACCGTATATAGTAGAAAAAGTTACAAGTGCTTTTCTACTCCGTAATTTTTTTTTTATCCGTAATGTTCCGTAATTTGTAGGAAGGGAATAAACAGTAAAAATAATAGAGGAAGAAACAAAGATGTCATAAAATGGGGACAGACCGACAGACAATGGAATAGTATGAGAGGACGAGACAACAGAATAGAGGGAGCCAAACACAATACGTATGGTAGTCGAAGTCCACAATTAGCTCGCTATTTCTATATTTTAACTTTGATTATTTCTTCTGTTCTCAAATAATACATCAATACCAAGTATGACCCTATTCACTTCACTCTATAAAAATAGTTGAAGTGTTATTAAAGCTTATTACGGATAAAAGTAATTTAACTTCATGAAAAACAATTAAGTTCAGCAAAACAAAGAATTAATCCGTAAAAATCAGTAATATCAAATATGAAGTAACAAAATACAGCTTTTAATTAGTAAAAATAAAATTTTATTAGTAAAATTAATTTCATTTTGATAAAAATAAGATTAACAGAGTATGGTTTATCATATTATAGTTACAATTTTCCGCTTCTCAATATACAATTTTGACCAATTGATAAAAGTTACTCCATCAAAAAGTACTTGGTATATATTACGACGGATGTAATGACTATATTTTTTCTTAATGTACTCCCTTCGTTCCTTAATAATAGCCCTTTTTGGTGAAATTTCACGGGAATTAGAAAATTAAATAAGTAGTAAAAGTACATTGAAAAGGTAAATTTACATGAATATGCAAAAAAGTAGAGAGAGAAAGTAGTAAAAGTATATGAAAATGCAAAATATGCTTGAGGAAGCTAAATTTGCACAAATATTGTTGAGAATTTGAGGGAATTATGGTAAAAAAAAATTAATATTAATGGTTATTGAAAAAAGTAAATGAGATGAACATTATGAGACTAAATTTGGCCAAAAGAGACTATCATTAAGGAACGGAGAAAGTATATACGGAGTATAATTAATCACAAAACTATTTCTATAAAAAATGGATAAATAGTGTAAAATTATAAATAAATCAATTAATCCGAAAAGGATGAAAGTAATATTACTCCTTTTACTATTCAATTAGAGTTAAGATTAGACAATAGATTAAAAAAAAAGCTAAGGGGAAGAAAGGGGGGGTCTATCCTCAGTTCCCGAAAATGCGACGTTAGTGTTTGACATTTTGCTTTGAATACTAGCATCTACTTCTTGTCAGCTTTTTTATTCATAATTTTGGCTTTTTCTTTGACTCTTTCTCTCACCTATCTTACTACTCAATGTCGAGACTTGTAAAGGTTTAACCTTTTTTTAAATTTTTAAAATTTTATTTTGGGTCTTGGGAAATTGTGACCTTTTCAAGGTAACCAAATTTACAGCACATTTTCTAAGAATGTCTGTTTCATTTTCAACGTTACTCTAGTCTTTAACTATTTGTTTAGGATTAGGATTAACCTTTTCCGTTTTAAGATTAAAAAATACAACTGCCACTAGCTTAGGTTTTGGAGGGTTCACTTATAGTTAAGCTATTCTAATACTTCCACATTAGTTTAATTTTCATGGAACTGTCTCTCTTGTGTAATATGCTTTCAACAAGAACGGAATTTTAATTAACCAATATATAAAAACTTATTTAGCTCGTGTTCTCTTCATCTTATTTCTAAAATTTAATATAATGAGTTTTAGAACACAAAAATATACATTACAGTAATTATATTTTATACGCACTAGCATATGAGGAGGTTAATTGTCTTTCTCAAAAGTACACCGAGCATTATGCACTAGCTAAGAGATCCATAATATGGAGTGCAAACCAAGAAAGCTTTGACCTTAGCATGCAAATACAAGCCCAAAAAATCGTAAAAATTAAAGTTTGATTAACTCTATAACCCCGAGAAATATAGAGACCTTCATTCTCTATCCAATTAATCAATTGACCTGCTGATAAATGTACTTAACTTTAGTAGGTTTATTTTTTGAAGCCAACTTTAGTAGGTAATTGAGTAGAAATAATATAAACAAAACAAATTAGTACATGAACATCATCTGAAATCCAAAAACAAAAAGGAGAGCAAGAGAAATGAAATTTTTTAAAGAGGACAAAAAATATTCTCAAAACAACCCAAATATAAAAAGAAGTAAAAAAAAAAAAAAAAAAAAAAAAAAAAAAAAGTTAAAATTAGTAGGAAGGGTACAAGAATCAAGAGAAAGGTAAAGAGAATTCCCATGTTAAGGATGCCAAATAAAAAGAGTCTAAGAAAAACGGCGACAATGAGAAGACATCCATTTCTATTACATTTAAATCTAATCTAATCTCTCTCAAAATACAACCACTCTCTGAATTCCTCTTCTGTATGGCTGCTTCTTCTACCTTCTTTCCTGAGCCTAATATCCTCTTCAACCCCTCTTTTTTGTTCTCTTCTTATAATGTAAATAACAACAACTACTTCTTCAATAATAATAATAATAATAATAATCTTAATCATTTTCATTCTTCTTCTTCGACTTCAACTTCAACTTCTCCACCTTCAAACAACTACTCCGCTTTTCTTTCTAATTCTCCTCAACTTATGTCATCTACGAATAATAACAGTCATAGTAGTAATCAAGCTAATCTTGGTTGTGATTCTTCTAAGATGGTTCGAAAGCGAACCGCTTCCGAAATGGAACGCCCTTCTTCTAACCCCATTGAAATTTCTGATCATCGCTTGATTTCGCGACAACTACCCAACCAACAACACCACCAACCGTCATTGCATCAGCAGCAGTTTACGCCCGTCAACGACTCCGCTGTGTTTAACCCAACCGATGGTTCGGGGTCGTTGACGGATCAACAGCAGCCTCTTGTTTGTGGGTTTTCTGGGTTACCTTTGTTTCCTCCTGAACGGCCTAGTAGTGATAATAATAATACTACCAACAGAAGTAGTATGAGTATGAGTAGTTTTTCGGTTTCGGGTTCGGGTTCAGTTGTGGCGGGTTCAATGGAGGATCCAGGGTGGATTGATGGGATAATTAAGGATTTGATTCAGAGTTCGAATTCAATCTCTATACCACAGTTAATTCAGAATGTCAGAGAGATTATTTACCCTTGTAACCCTAACCTTGGTGCTGTTATTGAGTTTAGGCTCCGCTCTTTGACGGACCCACTCATTGCTCCACCGCTTCAACCTCCGCAACAACAACAACAGCAACAACTTCCTCCTCCGCCTCATCATCATGTTGTTTCTCATTATCAGAAGAATCATAATCAGTATCATCAACAACAATCCGGGTTTTCAAGGGTTAATAATAGTGGTAATAATAATAATAACAATAATATGAACACTAGTAGTGTTTCTAGTCAACCTGGGTTGCATAATAAGGCTTATTACAACTTGAGCGATATTGAGTATTACTCTTCTCTTGGTGGTGGTGATTATTACTCTTCTCTTGGTGGTGGTGCTCTTGAGTGTGGTGGTAATATTGGCTGGGGTGGCGCTCCCCCTCCGCTTCCGAGACCACCCCAACAACCGATAAATGAGGGTTGTGTTGGTGGTGGAAATAGTGGAAACTCGAACCAGAACCAAAGCCAAAGCCAAAGCCCAAGCCCTCACCAGCCTAAGACAACGACAACTCAGGCTGGTGAGGGAATCCTGGATCAGAATCCCGAGAATTTTCCAAATAATTCTCGGGATTCTGATCCGGCCGTGGGGTCGTCATCAGCAGCAAAGGTGGGGACTATGGAGGAGTCCCCACCTGTTGCTGCGACCCCACCAACTCCCACGCCTCCGCCATCGCAACAAGTCACCACGGTGGCAAAGGCGAGAGAGAGGGAGGAGTTCAGGCAACGACAAAGAGACGAGGAGGGGCTACACCTCCTCACACTCCTACTCCAATGCGCCGAAGCTGTCTCGGCAGACAAATTTGAGGATGCTAATAAAATGCTTGTAGAAATCTCCGAATGGGCCACCCCATTCGGAACCTCGGCACAGCGTGTGGCCGCCTACTTCTCCGAAGCGATGTCGGCCCGCCTCGTTAGCTCTTGCCTTGGCATCCACACTGCTTTGCCTACAATTCCACATTACCAAAAACTAGTTTCAGCCTTCCAAGTGTTCAATGGAATTAGCCCCTTTGTCAAATTTTCACATTTTACAGCTAACCAAGCAATCCAAGAAGCCTTCCAAAGAGAAGAGCGTGTTCACATTATTGATCTTGATATCATGCAGGGCCTACAATGGCCCGGCCTTTTCCACATTCTTGCTTCCCGGCCCGGCGGGCCTCCATTTGTTAGGCTTACCGGGCTCGGTACCTCGATGGAGGCCCTTGAGGCAACCGGGAAGCGGTTATCTGACTTCGCCGAGAAATTGGGGTTGCCTTTCGAGTTCATACCGGTGGCCGAGAAGGTAGGGAACTTAGACTTGGAGAGATTGCATGTTAGTAAGAGGGAGGCTGTTGCTGTGCATTGGTTGCAGCATTCTTTGTATGATGTTACTGGGTCTGATACCAACACTCTTTATCTATTGCAAAGGTAAATTGATCATCCTTCTTTTCACTTAATGTGTTACATATTTGTGAATGTGATCATCGTTTTCATTAGGCTTATTACTTATAATTATGATTAATATAAAGTTGATCACCCCTTTTTATTAACATGAATCTAAAAAGTGGATGATGGGGATAGGAGAAAGTAAGAATGAGATAAAAAGTACTAATTTGGTTATAGTATGAACTATGTTAAAATTATACAGTAGTGTATTAGTAGCACTCTAGTTGATATTATAATATTTTCATTGTCCTACAAAATTGGGAAATTTGGTTACTTTTACTCTATGTGACATAAACCTTTATGTTAAAGGGGGGCATGAAAGTACTGCACTCATTGTTACTTGATACGAAGTATAGATTTTGCTAGATGACTTGTAGGAAATTATTGTTCAAGCAAATTTACCGTTTTCTTTTATCATCCGTAATGATGAATTAGGTTGTGCTATCTGCTTATGCTAGGTGCTCGACTAGGTTTGGAGGGAAAAGTAACTGTGCTAACGGAGTAACGGTGGTATGTAGTTTATGCATTAGTACAGTAGTAGAAGGTTATGAATTTGATTTGCTTATTAGTTTGAGGTTATGGGAGATTGATGAGTCCCCCAAAGCAAACTTGAAAAGTTTTGACATGCTTTGAATTTTCATCATTGTTTGTTTATGTGTGATTTTCTACATTATTGATTGGGGCATGCATTGGACTTTTTTGGCCAATGATTGTTATTTACCATCTAATTAGCATGATTGGTTACTTTTTGTTTACAAATGAAGATTTTTTTTCATCCCTATATAAATTATTCCTTAAAAAAGGGCATGTAATGATGAAAATGTACAATAACTCATGCATTAGAAAAATCTTGGTTGTGGTAAGATGTTTCTTTGTGTCAATGACCACAAGTCTACAATGCCTTTGAACTGATTTTGTGCTCCTGAAGTATAAAAGAAGTCTACTTATATGTTAATCATGTAAATTTCGAAACAATGGTAACAAATAGATGTATTTGCTTATAGAAACCTACTAACTATATATAGAAGGTATGTGTGGTACATGATTATACTAAATGAGTGAACGAATATGCTTGCAGATTGGCACCAAAGGTTGTGACAGTGGTCGAGCAAGACCTAAGCCGAACAGGTTCCTTCCTAGGGAGATTCGTCGAGGCAATCCACTACTACTCAGCCCTCTTCGATTCCTTAGGAGCTAGTTATGGGGAAGACAGCGAGGAGAGGCATGTGGTGGAGCAGCAACTGCTCTCAAGGGAGATCCGTAATGTTCTAGCAGTGGGTGGGCCATCTAGGAGTGGAGAGCCAAAGTTCGCGAGTTGGAGAGAAAAAATGCAGCAGTCCGGGTTTAGAGGGATCTCCTTAGCCGGCAATGCTGCTGCTCAGGCTACCTTGCTTCTCGGCATGTTCCCTTCTGATGGATACACTTTGGTGGAAGACAGTGGTACCCTTAAGCTCGGGTGGAAGGACCTTTGTTTACTTACTGCTTCAGCATGGAGGCCTTCCCATGCTCATACAATGAGTACTGTCTGTACAAGGAGCCAGTAACTCCTTTACATACAACCAAATCATGAAACCACGGCTACACACGTGGTACGATGGGGTTAGACCATTAGAAGGATCTTTCTTGTAACATACAGGTTTGGGGTTAGGACTCGAAGATGTCGAGATCATAGTTATAGCTTTTTTTCACCAAGTCATGTCGTTAGCTAGTTTTGTTTGGTAAAATGGACTTTAAAGAGCTTATATGCTTGCTTACATCGAATGTATTATGCTTTTTGACGTTAAACGTTTGCTTGATATATAGTCCTTCCATTTTTAATGTCAAATTTCCTAGCTTCTTCAAAATCTGTGATTATCAAGTCAACTTGGTTATATTGTGAATATATAAATTTTGATTAATTTAGAGTAATTTAATCTAGATTAAAAAAAGTTTAACCCCAGTAATTCAGGCGTAGGGATATAGATTAGCTGAAAATTTGGGTTGTTCTTGAGGAATGTGTATTGACGGCTAAGTCTATAAAATGTTTCTCTAGTGTTTCATTTCTAGAGATTTCATTTTTAAAGTCTGGATCATTTCTTTTTAATCTATATGCATCTTCTAAGCGTTTTATGAATTTGGCAAAATCTTAATTAAATTTACATGACCGTTGTCTAATATATTTATTTTATTATAAAAAAAAAATTCTAGGATATGACTATAATTTAAGCAACAATATAATTTTAATTGCCCATTTTTCTTTAAATACTTTACATAAGTTTATGGAACATAAGTATTCCAAGCAATATTTTTGGTCCAAATTAGATATAAGTACATTCTTTTAGTTTATACTATGGCCAAGACTATTTTTTTTCCCCTTTTTCGAGAGTATAATATACATCATGCTCCAGAGTATAGGATATAACTATTGGTTCTTATTAGTATAATAGTATTGCTACAGTACATCTTACTCTAATCTTGGAGTTCTTAACTCATACGAAGTGTAAATGAAGTTGGCAAGGTAACAAAGAGTCTATATTAGTTTCAAGGGCCATTAGTACACCAGGTTTAAAACATAGATTCCTCCAAATCAGCAGTTAGTTAGCATTATGCTCCGATTAGATCAGTTCGATTCTTGTTTGCTTATGATTCATACAATATACATGAAATTTTTTTTACGTTGGTTGTCACAAACTTACCGTAACCCTCCTATATTCAGGCTTGGAACCGGCATTGAGTAAACTCACCTCGAATTTCTTTCATGTTTCATCTAAGCTTTTAGAAAATCCAAGTTTAATGGAGTAGTTTTGCTTGTTCAGCTATAGAAGATGGTGGAAATAAAAATGAGTAAAACATAACATAGTGTGTTAATGACTTTACTAGTATTCGTAGTTTTACCAAGCATTATTTTCGTTTTGTCAAATTACGGAGTAGTGGAGTACACAGATTTGGTTTTTTGGACTTTATGATAGCCGAAAATAGGACAGCCCAACTTGATGAGGATTGGGCCTACTGATAAGGATTGGGCCTGTTGAATTGGGCCAACTTATTGAACTATATTTCATCTGTTAGGCCTTATTGATTTGTAACTCATATTTTACCATGGGCCAAAAACTAAAAAAGATACCCAACTCAGAATAACCTTGATCTATTGTGCCTGCTAGCAATGGGCGTGAAGTAGAGTTCATATGTAGGTTTAAGCTAGAGAAAGACAAATTTGACATTGAAGCAAACTGTAATACCCCGTATTTTTATACGTATTTTAACTTAAATTATTATTTTATGAAGCATTTAAATAATTTGAAATGAATTATTTATGGTATTTTATTAATTTCAAAAGGTTTATTTTAATTAAAGGTCCATTTTTATTTATTTAATTGCTTTGAAAATATTTTATTTTATTATTTAGAAACTTTGGGGCATATTTTATTTTATAAAAGGAAGTTTTAAAGTCAGTTGAATTCTAAAAAAAAATGACTAGTTTGAATAAGAGAAGGAATCATTAAGGTAGAAAGAGAATTTAAGATTAGGAGGGTTTTGAGAGGAGTATAAATACCCATCTTATGAGCAAGTTAGATCTTGCCCAAGGTGGATAATACCCAAAGGTAAACTCTCTCTCTCTCTCTCTTATTTTCTCTCCCTAAACTTTTCTCCCTCCCCTTTTTGCTTTCACTTGTATGACACATATACACACCGCAGGGTGCCCGGCTGCCACCACCACCACCGGCCAACCACCACCAGCACTTTCCGGCAGCAACCGCCGGTGGGAGGCGGCGGCAGCCGTCCTCCCTCCCTTTGTGTGTGTTTAAAACTCTTTGTTTTAATTTTAATCTAGCCTTGATTTAATTGTTATTTTTGGGTTGTATGATGATTTTCATGATGTTTGATTATGATTATTATGTATATTAATTTCATATTTAGTTTTTAAATTGAAAAAACCCCTAATTAAGAACCCTAGGTTTCTAAATTAATGTATATTGATGGAAATTGATTGTAGTTGGTTGGAATTATTGAAATAGGTGTTTTTAAGTATAATTACAGCAATTTTACATGTTTTTATAAAGCTGGAATTTATATATAATGGTTAGAATTATGTTTCTTGAAAGGATTTTAATCACCCATTAATTAGGAATAAAAGTAGGGGTTTTAAAATAATTTTCAGCTTGTTTTAGAGGGTTTATAAGTTATATTGTTGGAAATTTATATTGAATAGGTATTAATGTCTCTTTGTAATTTTGGGTTGTAGGAGATTTCTAAGTGGGTGATTCGTGTAGTTGTGGCGATTTTGATATCATATTTGAGATACGTTCGCGTACTCGATAATTATTTAAGTGTATAGAAGCATGCTAGACTTTGTTTAATTAATTCCAAGGTAGTATCATGATGGGTATTGGTTGAAATTGTTGATTGGATTGATGTTGGTGATTGGTTTGTGAAGTATGAATTATTTGAGGTGAATTGTTGATTGGAATTAATTATGTTAGCATGTTGAATATGAACCACACTTTTATTACTGGCATGATTGAGAGCATGTTTAATTAACTAAAGGTTTAATTTGGTTTGGAATATAAAAAGGAAATTTTATTATGATTCATATAATTTTATTGATACTTTAAGCATGGAAATTGAGCTATTAAGTGTCTTAGTACACAAGAATAAAATGTATTGCGGTGCCTAAGTGCATTTAACGTGTTCTAAACACCGAGGGATAGGATTTGCGGTGCTTTATGCGCTTAAGGTGTTATTTAACGCTGAGATAATTTTAAAAGGGTTCAACATTAAATTTATGTGGTCACTATTTTTTCAAGAATTAAATTGGTGTGTTTGATTGCCTGAATGATTTATTATGATTGATTGTATTATGGCTTGAGAGTCATCACCAAGTCTAAAAATATGTAAATCACGTAAAGTGAAAGAGATTACACACCAAAACTCTTGGAACGTATATACCTTGAATATAAACTTATGGGGGGAGTTATGCGACTTTATATTTGATCATAACTTTTACTGGGAGTACAAGACGCTGTATTTTTCTTTATTTATTTTATGCGCAGGACGTCTAGTCACTTTCATGCGGCATTTGCCTACCCGGTTAGCTTCCGGTATAGTTTACCTCAATTTATTTGGGGCAGGAATTTGGTGAAAACCCGTTCGATGCATAATCAAATTAAATAAGCAATTTATTTAGCTATTTATCGTTTGGTTGGTGTTGTATGCTTGTAAACAGGTGCTACAAGGTAAGTTGTGTGTTGATAGGATAAAAACATGTTAGTGTGTACTGTCAGGATAAAAGCAAAGTACTCATCTTTGCTGATTGTGTCTTTGTATGTTAGTTTGACCTTGTCTTTATCTTGGCACTACGATGACTCATTTCTAATGGCGAGTAGTGGGGACAAAATAAAGAGAAGCTTTTCAGGTGATGAAACATATTCATGATGGGCATGAGTGAAGAGCGAATCATGCTTAGTTTTTATAATGATATGATGTGGTTTATTGTTTTGATTATTAAGTATTTTGCTTGTGAAACTAACACAAAGATTTTTAAAATTCGATTTGGGTTTTGATAAGGGCCTACAATGGTTCCAAATTGTAGGTTAACTTCATTTAACTTTGGTTTGACTTTACTTTCGTTTGGTTTGAGTTTTTTAGTTAACTTGTTTTGAATGTTTTTTAAAGTGAGTCTTCCGCTGTGAGTTTTTGATAATTGTCTCAGCAGTTTTCACGGCGGCAGTAATGTCTTAAAATTTCCTAATTCGTATTTTAAAAAGAGCAAAATAGGTATTTTAAAGGAAAGGAATTTCTAGGGTGTTACGCAAACAAACACTCATAAAATAAATAAATAAATAAGTTTTCGAAGTGATTAGAGACACAATATGAAACATTACAAACTCTGTCCGTCACAATTTACTTGCTCCATAATCATTTGAGACTTTAAGAAGTGAAATAGTGAAAAGAAAAACAATAGATAGACGAATGTGAAATTCAACTTAACAAAAAAAAAAGTTAAATAAATTCTTATAGTTAATAAGAACACACATAAAAAGTTTATGAACCCCATTATGTGAATCAAATTATTTTCGATTCTAACCATTACTCGTATAAATTACTTTTTTTTATTTTTAGCATAATATTCCCCTTATGATCAAAAGATTAATACTCGAATCATCCATAGAACGAGCCAAATCGAGCCACCAAATTATACTGTACTCCAAAGTTCGAAGTCCTCACGAGTTGCTCTGTAGTCTATTTGCGGCAAGTATAAAATTTATTAACTCTTACTAAAACAAGATATTGCTGACATCAACCCTCAAACTATCCTACATGTCATTCTCACGTTAAAAATTTTCCTTTCAATTCTATGTGTGATGTCATCAAATCAATTATTAATATTTTTTTATTTTTATTATTAATTTACGCTTTGATTTAAATACATAAATGCTTATATAAAATTCAATTAACCAAGTTTCTCTCTTAAATTATAGTTTCACATATTTAATTTATTTGATGTTTGGTCGTGCATTCTAATTTTTTTCTACTTTACTTAAATATAAATTATTTTTATATTTAATTCTAACATTGATATACTACCTCCGTTTTTTTTATGTGCAACTTTGGCACAAGTTGCGGTTCACGAGGCAAAAGATTGAAGGGCAAAGATTTAGAAAGTATAATGGTGATTAATATATTATAGGAGTATGTAATTAAGGTGGAGAGAGAATATTTGGTTAATTAATCAAACCACCCCCAGCCACCACCATGCATAGCCACCACCACCGCCGGCTTCACCACCACCATTACCACCCCCACGAAACCACCACAACCAACCCCCCGAAACCACCACCACCCTCATGTCTTTCCCTCCTTTTTCCGGCAGCCCCCTCCCTAACCAAAAAACCCAGAAATCTATCATTCCCCTCCACCACCACCCCTAACCACCTCCAACCCAGACCACCCACCCCTCAAATCCACCTCTAACCCAGACCACCCAAACACTCTCAACTATACACACAGATCCATCAAAACAACACTCAATTCAATCCAAAGTTAACCTCAAAATAATAACTCGAATTAAAAAAAAAAATTAAAAATTTAAAAAATCAAAGAAAGAAACAGAATGTTAATCCAAAGTTTTCAGATCGTAGTGAAAACAAAATAAAAAAAAAATTGAATAACAACAAACCTCAAAATCGATCGAAGAAAACAAATAATGGAAAAACAGAACACAAAAATTCCGATCTAAATTAAGATCGGATAAATTAAAACACCGTACAAAAAAAAAAAAAAAGAGAGGGAAAGAGTGAGATCTACCAGTTACTGAATGAAGTAGAAGAACGAGGACCCGAAAATCGAAAATCAAAAAATCAAAAAAAAAAAACCCAGAAAGCCGGTGGGTGGGATGGAAGGTGGTTGTGAAGGAGGAGAGAGAATGGTGGTGGAAGGGGTGGTGGTCGTGACTCTTGAGGGAGGAGGGTGAAAGTGGTTGTGAAGGAGGAGAGAGAACGTGGTGGGAAGGGCGGTGGTCGTGACTCTTGAGGGAGGAGGTGAAAGAGATGAAGGGTGAAGGTGAAAGAGATGAAGAGGGTGAAGGTGAAAAGGGTGAATGGATGGTGGCTGGTGGGTAGAGAGATGAGTAAATGGGTGGGTAAAATTAGGTTAATTATTTTAAATTAGACAAAAAAGTTATTGTGTTTAAAATAAAATGAGGGTAACATTAAGAAAATTTGAATTTTTAAGTAAGGGCAAATTTGTAATTTTTAGGGTTTTTTTTACTAAAAATAAAAAGAAAAAAGAAAGTTGCATATAATAGTGAGTGTACTAAAATGACAAAAGTTACACGTAAAAAAAACAGAGGTAGTGTTTCGGGGTTTTCTGATGTCCTGCGGGAGAGTTACAATTCCGAGACTGGAACCGGACGCCTGTACCTGCAAAACAAACGGATGCTCCGGATGATTGGAGATCCGCCTCCGACGGTCAAGTTAGTACTTGATTAAGGAGTAATTAATGCGGAAATTAAAGTGATTGGGTCTCTCTAGGTGAGAGTGTTTAATGTGTGTAATCTGCGTTTTTTGCGTGTAATCTCCCTTAATGAGGATTAAGGGAGGTATTTATAACCTCGGGAAACGTGTCAATCTAGGTTTAGGTTAACCTTGGGCTGATTGGGCTTCCCTCGGAAGTTGGGCCTAGGTGACCGGTTATCCCAATTGTCATGGGAAGGACACGTGTCGTGTGGTAATAGGTCCATAGTGGACGGATCATTGCTTGACACGTGGCAGGCTCCTATTGGCCCATGTGACGGACACATGGCGGAACCTGATTGGTCCACTTGTCAGATGGTGATTGGTGGGGAAAAATCCCCTAATCATTTGCCCCTCACAGGTGGCACGTGACTGGTCACGTGTTACCTGTGACAGGTATCGCCCTGTAACAGGCGACGGCCTGCTACAGGTGTCACTCGGCGAGAGGCCGAGAGATTCTCCCGCCAAAATTTTGAATTCTGGAAGTGACCCTTCGCCTTCTCACTTCGCCTATATAAAGGAGTGTTGACTTCGGTCATTTTCACACTTGAAAACTTTGCGAGAGAACATTCGGACCCCTGAACTTGCTCTGACATGTTGGACCCTTTCTGCCTACCGCCTGCTCTGACAAGCCGACTGCAAAGGATTTTCAGAACTTCATCAATCGTCACTCGTTCAGGTAACCGTCGGTTCTCTTACTCTTAATTTTCTCTTCTCGTCTTTGTTTGACGACTGCTTCTGTCGTCCTTCTCTTTTGTCGAACCTTTTCCTGTCTGACTGTTTTACCGTACTACAAAGATCAGTCGCCTGTATATAGGCTTCCGCTTCAATCAAGGCCTCTTGAAGAGTCGCCACCCTCTTTCGGACCAAATCAAATTTGAAGGTCAACCCGTCTTTGAGACCTCTGAAAAAGTCAGTATAGGCTACTTCATCCGGTAACCCTTGAATCTGTATTCTCATCAGGTTAAACCGCCTGATGTAAGAACGATGCCCCTCCTTCTCGCCCTGCTGAATTGTTCCTAAATCAAGGGTCGTCTTCTTCGCAGGGATGTTCATGGCGAAGTTGGAGGTGAATAAGTAAGCAAGCGTCTTGAAGTTATTTACACAACCAGTCGGCAGGTTGCCGAACCATTGTTGTGCGATTCCTTTGAGAGTCGCTGGGAAACACTTGCACCAAGTGGGATCATCCAACCCTTGAAGGTACATCAGGTTGGTGAATGCCATCAGATGGTCTTCTGGGTTAGTAGTGCCGTCATAGGCGCCTACTAATACATTTTTCACTTTGGCCGGCTGAGCGGCTTCAGTAATTTCCTTGGAGAAGGCCGACGGCTGTTCACCAAGTCTAAGCAACCGTAGCTGCCAGTCCATAGGTTGGACATTTTTTGCTGCATGTCCACCAAACGGAGGTGGCTGTAAAAAATACTGTTGTTGCGGTACAAACGGTAAGTTTGGTACCGCCTGGTCGCTATGAAAGCCGGACTGACGGGAGGTGCCTCATGACTGACTCTCATGATACGACTGAGTATGCCTCATCGAGGTATTTCGCAGACTGTCTTGGAAGTTTGAAGTAGAGGCCGACTCTGACAATCGGTCACTCTTCTTCTGCTCTAGCAGTAGCCGAGCGTCTGTGTATGTTTTCCTCGACCCGTCCGCCTGAATATGACGAACAGGTTTCCTATTTCCTGGAGTAGGAAAACGGTATTTTGTGAAATCAAGGGCAGGTGGCTCCCACTTCCTAGATTTAGGATGAGGGGTCGCCTCTCGCCCTTGAACTGGTTTCCTCTTCCGTGAAGTGGAGGGTTTCTTAGCCGACTGCTCCTTGTCCAGAGCAGGCGACTTCTTGTTGATCAACTCTTGAATTTCTCCCTTGAAGTCCCTCATGAAGGTCATGAGTTCGTTCCTTGTGATGGAAGCAGACCCATCAGTCGGCTGCTGCCGAACAGGCGGTGCGCCTGCTGGCTCGCTTCCAGTTTGAAGATGTTCCCGTTCCCTCCTTTCGGTATGACGGGCACGTCGGGCCCTTAGGGTCCCGTCTGAAGCTTTGTGAGCTTCAACTTCAAATTCATTCTCAGTATCGTGGTCCGACTGAACTAGAGGGTCGTCCAGGGGACGTCTCTCTTCAGGAGCCGGTACAAACGTGGATGCCATCTCAGAAGTACTCTCCCCACAGACGGCGCCAAGATGTTTCGGGGTTTTCTGATGTCCTGCGGGAGAGTTACAATTCCGAGACTGGAACCGGACGCCTGTACCTGCAAAACAAACGGATGCTCCGGATGATTGGAGATCCGCCTCCGACGGTCAAGTTAGTACTTGATTAAGGAGTAATTAATGCGGAAATTAAAGTGATTGGGTCTCTCTAGGTGAGAGTGTTTAATGTGTGTAATCTGCGTTTTTTGCGTGTAATCTCCCTTAATGAGGATTAAGGGAGGTATTTATAACCTCGGGAAACGTGTCAATCTAGGTTTAGGTTAACCTTGGGCTGATTGGGCTTCCCTCGGAAGTTGGGCCTAGGTGACCGGTTATCCCAATTGTCATGGGAAGGACACGTGTCGTGTGGTAATAGGTCCATAGTGGACGGATCATTGCTTGACACGTGGCAGGCTCCTATTGGCCCATGTGACGGACACATGGCGGAACCTGATTGGTCCACTTGTCAGATGATGATTAGTGGGGAAAAATCCCCTAATCAGGTAGTATAATACAACATAACATAAATTACAAAAAATTTTAATAACATAAATTACAAGAAATTTTAATTCTAAACGTGCATCGCGGGTGATAACCTAGTCCCCTAAAAGAAAGCACAGACTGACATAGTTTTCTCCGTCTTTCTTGGAGAATACTCGATTAGCAAATAGAATATGATTAGATCTGATAACCTACCAATATCACAACTGTCTTCTTCTTCTGTAATTTCTCTCTCTTCCTTTTTTTTTTACTTTTAATTTTCTTTTTTATTATTAATTTTATGAATGAAGAACAACGAATGAGCACTCTCACACCACTTCTTATTAAAGTTTCAAATTCTCTTCTCCCAAATGTCTGCTACCACTACCACTAATTTTTCTCCTACTTTTTCTTCTCTCTCTTTTTCTTCTTCTTTATGGCTTCTCTTCGATCTCTTTCTCTTTCTTCATCCCTCGATTTTCCCAACAATTCCACTGTAATTTTTCCCTTTTTGTATTGTTTCCCTGTTTTTTTTTGTTCTGGGTTGATTGTTGATTTTTCTGTTTGTGCTTAGTTCTTTGGTTTTTTGATGCAGATCTTTGGTTCTACTTTGAAATTGGGAGAAAATGAGCTGACCCTTTTGAGATTATCGACTCATTCTTCCAAGTAATCACTTTCCCATTGTTTGATTTTTGTATGATTTTGGTGCATCATTTGCTGTATTACTGTTACATTATATGTTGGTTGTTCTTTGGGATTTTCCTTTTGATTCAAGTAATTATGATATGTGATTAATTTATTGAGTAATTGAATTGGATTAAGAAATTGGGTTTTAATTTGCTTTGATGTGACCTGTTGGATTGATTTTGATGCTCACATGTTGAGGACACGATGTCTATTATACACTTTGGTGTAATTTTTATTTAGTTTACGAGTAGGAGAATGTAAAATGTTTTAAAAATTATACCCGGGTTTTGGATGGAAACTGCCAAAGACAAGATTTTTCTTCCCAAGAACTGAACTTTATTGCTAATGAAGAAAAAAAATAGTGGTTTTTGGAGTTTATGGCAATGGGTTGTATATCAACTGCTAACTCTTAGTCCATGTTTGGAAACAAATGAAAAAGGGAAAGGGTATTATTAATTATTACCATTGTAGTTGTTTGGTAAAACTAAGAATAGAAATCCCTTGCATCAAATCAAGGATTGAGAAGGACTGCTGCCCCAAATAACACTTGATGTCTTTTTTGAACTAGCTACAACTTTTGAGTTTGTTGTTTTAGTTTTGTTAGTAGATCTTGCAATAAGCTAGCTCATACCGTTGCCAAGTCTTTTTCTTTCCGTTGCGAAAACTTTGGTATGGACGGAAGTTCCCCCCCTCCCACCCACTCACCCAAATTGCTATACCTTGTCCTTGTGGACAAACAGCTGATTCAATGATATGTTAGTTCTGTTTTTTCTCTTAAAATATGAGGATTCAAGAGGCTAGTGATTTTGTTATCATAGGGTTGGATAGGGTAAATAAATGGGTAGCAATGGTTTCCCTTAAGAAATGGAGTATGTTACTCACCCCTCATACCAATCAATAGGATATTCAAATGATTCCGTTTCCAACACTTAAATACACCATATTAAACATGCTCTTGTTGACATAGAAGGAAAGGGCAGTAAATTGGCTATTGTAAGTTTTGTAACTTGGTTGTTAATACCCAGATTTTGATTATATCAGCGCAATATCAGTCAGTCATATACAAAATTGCTGTCCAAGTACATTTTTATGTTCAAAATTGTTTCTTGTCAGTAAAATGTCTTGTATGGAACATATTGGTTTTACAGGTCATATGGTTCTAGAAGTATAAGTACCACTGATGTAAATTGAGCATCTTTAGCTTAATTGAATCACATTTCTCATGTTGGAACTTGTGTTATGATCACTTTGCAGGATTAATCCTGTTTTGAGACTAAAAGCTTCAAGGATATCTCTGGAACTGACTAAAGAGGCTGGGAATATCAAAGAAAACATGTCAGAAGAAACTTTGAATGGTCGTGATCCGTTTTGTACCATGAAGCAACGGTTTTTGACCTTCAAGAAGGAAAAATACTTGTAAGTGTAATTGTGGTCTAACTGCTTTTTCTTTATCTTAAGAAAGTACCATTAGCCGGTTTTTCTTCAATATGTGATTTCTTCTTAATATGAATATGTAGGGGAAACATAGAACACTATCAGAACCTTGCTGAGACTCAATCGCCCAAGGTATGTACTGCTTTCCATTAATGGACTCTTAAAGGAACATGTTTGATCAAATAAATTTCCCTATATACATTATGTGAAAGTTACTTCGACAGTAATTTATTTTCCACTAATTTTCCATCTAGATTAAGGACTGAACATGGGACTGCTAACTGACAGTTTTGGGAACAGTTTACAGTGATTGCTTGTGCAGATTCTAGAGTTTGTCCTTCTAACATCCTTGGATTTCAACCTGGAGAAGCTTTCACTGTGAGAAATGTGGCGAATCTGGTGCCTCCTTTTGAGGTATTGTGTTTCTTCTTTTCATTATTAGAAAGTTTCAAAGGGTATATTGTAAATATGTGAGTTCCATACTGAATCTGAATTTGACTTTGCTGTTCATGCAGACTGGGCCCTCAGAGACAAAAGCCGCGCTTGAATTTTCTGTTAATGCTCTTGAGGTAAATTGCTCTGAGTTCTTTTAATCTTGAACCTGCTGTTTGAACTTAATTGACAAACTTATATCAATATGAACACTGGAAGACAAAACTTGATCACACTGTAAAGTAGCGAACACTGTCCCTGCATATGCCTTCACTTACACTATGTTTGGAATTTGGATAACAATAATACCCTTCCATTTTCCTTCCAAATCTCTCCAGCAAATGGAGGGATTTGGTTTATTAAAAGGGGAAAGAGAAGCAAGTTAGCCCTTGGACATAATAGATCTTTATGCTCCCTAAATTAGACCTTGCAAACAGATTGTTTGTGTTTGGCTTCATTAAAGTTGATGTGTGTATCTTTGGGTCATAATGTAATTAATTAAGGGCATTAAGGCTATTTTGAATTGGGTCAAATTTAAGTCTATTGCTAATTAGTTTAATAATTAAATGTCTCATATTACTTTTGGTGTCAATTCGGATCAATAAAGTTTGTTTGGGTTGAAATCAGGTTACATTGCTTCGACTGCAGTTCAGGTGGTCTTGTAATCAGATATGTATCAGTAAGTCTAGCTTCCTTAATATGTAGTATGTAGAAGCAATTGAAAGTAGCCTCTCTGCACCCCCCCCTCCCCCCCCCCCTCTTCCCCCAACCCTTTCCAAAAAAAAAAAAAATGAAAAAAGAGAGAAATATGAAAGATGTGAAAATCTTGTCTGGGAGCAGGTTGTGTGAAGATATCTAAGTCCTCTGGACAGTTAAACCAAAATCTAATTTTCATAAGTCCTTGAAACAGTTCCATTGTTGGATAACTTGATGAAATCTCCTTTACATCTGTCAACTCTGTCCTAAGGGTCTTCTGCGCGGAAATCTGTTAATTGTTTTCTCATTTTTCCAGGTTGAAAATATTCTAGTTGTTGGCCATAGCCGCTGTGGGGGGATCCGTGCCCTCATGAGTATGGAGGATGTAGAAGAAGAAGATTCAAGGTTCCAGGTCTATCTAAATATTTTTTTCCATGCAAACCAAATTGAAAAGAAGAGAAAATTTGCCTTTAACTTATAGTATTTATAAGTGTACTAATTTTTTGATTCTATTCTTTATTGTTTACTAGGAGCTTCATTAAAAGTTGGGTTATTTTTGGCAAGAATGCAAGGGTTAGCACCAAATCCGTGGCTTCCAACCTACACCTTGACCAACAGTGTCGACACTGTGAGAAGGTGCACCACATTGACAAACTTTGATTTGATATGAATAAAGGTTTATAATTTTCAACCTGAATTCTTTGCTAACTTTGCTGATTTGTTTTTTTGACAGGAATCTATCAACCATTCACTAATGAACTTGCTTACATACCCTTGGATCAAAGAAAGAGTTGCGAAAGGTACACTTTCTCTTCATGGAGGTTACTATAATTTTGTGGATGGCACATTCGAAAAGTGGACACTTGATTACAATTACAATGTTGAGGACGGTCATACATGTTCAGTTAAATCCCGGGAGTTTTGGAGCTGATTTGAGCTTCATTTCCACTGCAATTCTATTCATTTCTTTTGTATTAATCACTTGTATTGCTGTATAACTAAGGTTTTTCTTTATAAGCTTTGTGATTTTAGTATTTTTAATGGGAGAAAGGACTTCTATTATGTACATAGATCCTCTCTCGAAACTGGAGAGATCATGTACTCCTACAATCAGGGGGGGGGGGGGGTTTATAGTGGAGATATTCCGCTACCATTATAAGCTCCCTCTTCAATAGATAGTAATTTGGTACTACTAAGAATTCTTCTCCCATATAGCATTCTTTCCAGTTGAGTGCGTGGTTTGTAAGATATAGTTGTAACTTATTTATAGACGAAAGTGTGATTGTTAGGGCATAAGATGCCAGTTCTATCAAGCATTCGAGTGGTTGTTCAGCTGGAGTATCATGTAATAAGTATTTTGAGAAATTTACGACAAATTTTCGTTTTAAGCAGCTACCCTTTTGACATTATCTGTGGCTCGATTCATTTCATTGTACGCACGCTAAAAAATCAGATTGTTTTGGATGTTGTTAGTTTGTTACTCTATACGAGAGAAGGGAGACATTGGTAAGAACAACTATACTTACAGGTTTGATGCACCAAACAATGATTTGGAAACGCTAAATCTCTGGAGCTTGGAGATGCGCTTGCAAAACAGTTATGAGCTTATGACTGATGTTTGTTTGTGTAGGCTATTTTTATTGCTATTATACCCTTAGATAGTTCAACACTCTAGTCTACCCTTGTAAAAAACATATCTTTGTTTTCCTATTTTTAATGTTGTGGACTTAAGGCTACTACAAGACTTTAGAGGATTGACTACTAGCTTCAAACAATATTATTTCACCTCAAGATGCATCCCTAACAATCTCAACATTTTTTAACATTGAGTACCAAACCTCTAAAATTGGTTTGATTTCATGTATGATATCCTTCAGTTTTGGATATATTTCGACTTTTTGGAGCTGGAAAGAAAAGAAATCAAGATGCTTTCCAAGGACACCATGGCGCCCCATGAAGTTATTTAGGTGGTAAGAACCCCTTACTTTACCTGTCAACCATCTATTTAACTGTTTACATACACACCCTCCTTAATTAATTTAAGGCTATCATGGGCCTTTATGTGACCAACTAGTGGTTATATATGGTTCCTAACAACATCTAATAAAGCCGAGATGCATCCACTACCATCTTGAAAGTTTTTGACACCAGATCCCAAAACATTCGAAATCGGTCCAAAAGCGTGAATTATAGCCTTTTGGCAATTTTAAACTTTTTCGGACCCGCAGAAAAAGAGAGAGCTTGTTGTGTTTCTCATAACCCCATAACACCCCTGGAACCCTATTAGGTGGTTGAAACCGTCCACTTTGCCTTTAAATTGCCAATTTAACTGTTTACAACTTATGCCATCCTTTATTAACTTAGGGCCACCACAGGACCGACTAGTGGGTCTATACTGGTAGTAAACAACATTATTTTACTAGAGGATGCATCCACTATGACTTCTCAAGCTTTGGACATGGATCCAAGAATCTTCGAAATTGGTCCAATTTTGTGGATATAGCCTTAAAAATTTGGCTTTCAAAACATTTTTGGACTCAACAAGATTATGATTTGAGGTTATTCCCGGGTTCCTAGGAGGCCTATTTGGTGCCCAAATCATCTCAACCTTGCCTAGGCCTAGCTGGGTAAGAATTAGTAAAGATGATACATTCTTACATACAACGTACTAAAAAAATTGGTGAATAAAAAGTAATTTCTTTTTTCCCAAATAAAATGCACAAGTTGTCCACATAATTAAGCTCTTCGTTAAGGATTATTTCAAAGACAAAAGTATTACACGTAGTAAAAAAACTGAAGTAACAAAATCTAGCAAGTCTGGTCCACTACTGAAAGGCAAACATGTCAATTCAATTGGTGACGCAACAAGATGTGACCGAGGGTTAGCCCACAACGGTTGCACATAGGTGAGTAACAATACTACATGCACCAAATGGAAAGGAGGGTTAGCCCATGTCGGTTGCATATAGGTGAGTAACAACACTACATGCACCAAATGTTCAATATATGGCTTTCAGCCCTAACAGCATCTAAAAGCAGTTCATGAGCAAATGTAAGAGAATAGGTCTTAGGCAGGTTTTTAGGCTGCTGCTGATTTATTTTTCTCCGCTTCAAGTCGTTGCAGCTCTGCAAGTCTCTGAGCCCAATCTCTATCTCTAGCAACTGCTTCCATCTTACGTTCGATCCTTTTTTCCCTTTTCTTGCGATTAGCTTCCTGCACTTCAGCCTTTCTCTTCTTTCTTTCAGACTGCAAAATATGAAGCACACAACTATTGGCGCTGAATATTATATAACAGAAAACAGCAACCAGCAACCTGATGTTGGAGATTCCCCATAGCACAAATACAAGCGAAGAAATAGAATGTTTAACACTATTACGACCTTAACCCAATAAGTCAAAATTTTTTGAAATTGTTTACCGATGTTAACACTGAGTACTGAAATTCCACAAGAACCTATGGCTAGCAGTAAAGATCGCTAAGATACAAAAATCAAAATTATAAATAGCAGTAAACCAAAGTAAAAATATGCCTTAGCCCTCAATCATGCGAAATAACATCTAGGCCCTAAAGAAAACATGATGGGCAAAAGTGAGGGGAAAGTCGTGAAAGACATGTATGCCATAACACGCAGAGCACAGCCTATTCACAGTTTCTGTCCTTACATGTTTAATCATGTTATGCTACTCGTCTCTTAAGAGCTGATGAAAAAACCCAAAGCATTCCAAATATTTTCCACTGGTGTAGAACAAATACTACAGCATTCTTGTGGATGCAGTTTCTTTGTATCTCAATGCTCATAGGGTTGCATCAACTTTAGACAAGATTTTCCTTCTACTTCAAAAAGGATCTTACATTTATGGCTTATAGGGCAAGATAGCCTATGTGACCACTTGGGAAGTAGGAGACTTCCATCAAATATTCTCTTTAATTCTTTTCCTTTTGGGGAGCTGGGGTTCACCAATGTTAGAAAAGGGTATCCAGAGCATCAAGTATAACTTTTGTCAAGGGGTAAATCTAGGTGGTCATATGTGATCTTGCCGACCAAAGGCTGATTTCTAACAATTTTAACAAAAAAAACTCCACCTGCCTTTGAGATTTTAAGGACCTCACCATCGTAGTATTTACAAAGGTCCTCATTTGAACAACCTTTACCATTTTTCAAGGGTACTCAATTACTCATTCGTAGGTTTCATCTGATCTACTTTATCTAACAAACATGACCAACAGAGAACACCAAAAGGATCCTCTCTCATTCCCTACAGATTTTAGGCCCAGCCCCTAGTATGTCATAGGCTCCCTTCCCCACTTTCATCAATTTCATCAAAAATACAGTCTTTTCTCTTAAGATTCATAAATTCAAATCCTATTAACCAGTAATATTATTAAACTTAAGGTCAAGTTGTGAATTGAAGTCCATATAACAACCCACATTCACAAGCATATAACCATTACTACTCCATGTTTGCATATCCTCCAAGCAATCTAAAGTTGTGTTTATGAACCACTCTTTAAAATTTACTAGAGGGCAAGATTCCCCAAAGAGGCACCCTACATAAGGAGACTTTTAAGTGAGCTTATTAGAACTTGTCAGCACTTCAATGGAACCAGAAAGTTGAGATCGAAAGATAAAAACAAAGAGACTCCTTATTGCAGGCATAATCCATCTTACTTCATCTTATCACCCACTAGCAACTGCCTTTCCAAAAAAGAGAGAAATGTAACAAACAAATGCCTCTCAGCTAAGCAAGCAATTAAATTCCTAATCACCCATCCATCCACCTAACAATTGCTTACACAGTTTATACAGTAGTTCCATCTTTCCCACAAGGGATGGTCCTTGATCAAAAATCAAAGCAATAATCTAATCAAGCATTATGAATATCAGGTGATATGCTCACATCCACCTCGGTCCCAAAACACCGTCTCAAACTGCCATCCAGTTACAGCATACCTTATTAAAGTATCTCATTCAATTTAGTGCCTACACTTTACCTAACTTAATACCAATATCGCAGGAAAACCATTACATGACCACCAAAAAACACACAGTATAAACTTAACTCTCTAAACTGCTCCGAGAATATACCACATGATGGCAGAGAGAGACTTTGAAAAGGTTTCTGACCTACTCGTGGTGACAATAACTAGAAACTATTATAATGCAGTCATGCAGATCTTAACTGTGGAGGTTGGAAGTACATACGCAGCCAGCACTGTCAAAAATCATAACCAGCAAAATCTTAAATCATCATTTTAGTTCACTCACTCATCAGCACTAGTAAATCCATCTAACACACCAAATGACTGTGTTCCACTGAAACTTCATGACCTATACATAATACATTAAATCAGATAACTCAGCAATTAAGTTCAATGTCTAATCCAATTCACACTGAACTGGTAACCGGAGTCCAAGTTTCCAGCTAAATAAAGAGGCTCTCTATTACTAGTCAGAATTGGTTGGTATAACAACTTCTCAAGAATTGGGTTCATAATCCAAGAGTAAAAAAAAAATTTCCACAGCAAGTTCCAAAATTGTTCTTATTATGTGATGAGTTGGCCTTCCAAGCTCCACTACGATTCTTGTTAGTGGGACATTTACAAGGATGTCAAGTGAAAGTCCCGTGTGAATGGCATACATTTGTACTCAAAATTTTCTATAAGAAGGATCCTTCAGCCTCACTAACACAATATCAGTACTTCTCAATCGATGAAAATCAATTTCTCATCTATACAACCTTCTAACAGTATAAAGTAAATGTAAACAAGCAAAAGACCACTAAATCACCATACCTTGATAAATTCACGGCGTTGCCTTCGGCGTTTCTTCTCATTCCTCAACTTGACACTCCCTTCATTGGGTTGACTTGGTGGAATAGCCTCCCCAGGTACATGCTTAACCCAAGCATATGGCCCTACATTACATTTCAATCAATCCCCATCCCAAAAATCTCAGCACAAACTAACAAAAGCAATACTCAATTAGCAAAAAAGATTCAACATTCACATAATTAAATTCAAATTACTTAACTAACAATGCATCATTCATCAAACAACTCTTCTAATCAAACAACCCCATCTTAAATACCACCTCATTTCAATCAAATTACCCAACAAATACAACATTCAACAAGAACTAAATCCAAATTGAACCAAAACCCATCTCAAAAAAAAAAAAAAAAAAAAAAAAAACACCTAATTAAATTAAACTTATTTTTCCAAAAATTAAGAGAAAATAAAGGAAACCCACCTGGGGGGCGGAGGCTAGAGCGCTTGCGGCGGGAGCTAACACTTGGGCGGCGTTTGGGAAAGCGTGGATTGGTTAAATGGTCGAAAGGTTTGGAGGCGAGAGAAGGGAGAGAATCCAGATGAATTGAGCGAAAAATGGAGTGCCCAAAAACTGGTTGAATTTTTGGAGAGAGAAATTTGGGGAGAAATTGAGAAGATAACGGTGATTGAGTGATTGAAGTTGAAGAATAAGAAGAGATTGCTCTCGAAAGAGGACGAATGAGAGATCTTAGGGTTCCAAACCCCATTTTTGTTGCTTCGTCTTCTACCTTTGAGTTTTTTCGATCTTGTAAAGTTGGGGGTTTTCTGTTAAACCATTCTTTGTCTACTACTGTAGTTCATGAGTGATTGAGTGAGTGTAATCAACTTATGGCCCGTTTTGTAAATAGCGGATAGCCGGTTATCAAGGGTTGGTGCGTGTTAATGTGTCTCCATTTTTTTTTTTGGCCTTGACTTTTACACGATTTATATAAACAATTAATCGTATATTATATGTGTAAAAATTACATCCATTGAAATGAAATTGAGATGAACATGGTTATTAGAGACATTTATGGACATGAATTGATCGTTGAAAATAATCAATGATTCAAAGTCGATGGTTAAATGTCACTCAAAAAAATCGATTGTTAAAGATTTTCCGATGTATTGTTAGCCTTAGTACACACTCGCACCAAATTCAGGTCACAAGTTGTCTTTATTTACCAAACTCTTGATCAATTAAGGTTTGGAAGGGTCAATTTAATCCTTAATAAGAATCTAATTTACCAAAAAACTTATAGTACCATAAATATCTTGTTTTGGATGATATGAAACGCCTCAGCTTACCTATCGTTACATTAAAACTAAGTATCGATCAATTAGGTAAGTTTTTTTTAGCTAATATTGAGTATATTGACCTCAAATTTGACTCTAAGGAGCCAAAATGTCCCAAAATTTTTAAATGAGCAAATTTATTGGTTTTAAAAGTAACGATACAGAGTATGAGGTGTCTCATAGCACGCAAAACTAGACACTTATGGTAAGTTGTTTTTATTTTTTTTGTTGCTAAAGTATGACCTAGTTTAAATAATTTCCTTTTATATCTGACGCTTTAAAAGACACATTTTTTTTTTATTCGACTAAACTATGATCTTCAACAAAAAAAATAAAAAAATATCGAATATCAATTTTATTTCAATTTTTGGAGCCTTGCTTATACGCTGCACTTCTCTCTCCATTGAAGCGTACTCTGAGTTCGTCTTCGAGAGTTTTTCTCTCCTCCATTGAAGCAACTTCTGAGGTAAGATAATTTCTCCCTCTTTTCTATATATCGAATATCAATTTCACAATTTAGGGTTTAATTTCATACTATCGTTAATTTAATTGTCAGTATAGTCAATTTAGGGCTCTTCTTAAGTGAATTATTGAACTATAGGTTATAATTACTGAAGATTATAACGAGCAATTTCGATTATGAGTTGTGTATGTGGCTCAGGGATGGGGCTAGACCTTTGTTTTGCTCATGTTGATTGAATTTGAGATGGCTAAGGTAAATTGGCGGAAAATTCCCCCTTTTTTAGGGTTCAATGATCAAAGGGGTTCGTGAGTTCTACTAGATGGCTTCTTTGATCTAATTAGCCAATTTTAGGTGTATTTTATGCTTTAAATTGTTATGATTTCGTGGAACTAATACGATCAAGTCATTCAAGGTTTGTCGTGACGTTGTTTGTATCCGATTTGGCGAATTTTCTAAATATATGTGATTCTGGTTTGCTTTTATTTTTCGTTGCCGGTATTTGGGGTTTTAGGTAAATAGTAATGATATTGATGTGGTTTTCTTGGGTATGTAGGTTGTGTGAGAGAGATAACAGAGAGAAAGTAATATAATCTGCAAATGGACCTCGTAAAGCAAGAGATTATGAAAAAGAGACAGGCTCTCTCTGCAGAGAGGCCAGAGTCGGGTGGGAAACGATTCTTCAAGCGGTCTGAGATTGAGCAAAAGCGTCTTCAAAAGGTTCGTGAGGAGGAGAAACGTGAACTTGAGGAAAAATCTGTTCGTCAGCAGCAATCCTCCTCTTCTGCTGCTTCTACAGCCTCACTCCTTGATTTAATATACTCTACCAAACCAAATACCGATTCCTCCTCTAAAAGTGTAACCTTAACTACTGATGAGCAGAATAATATCGATGAACTAAAACTCTCAAAACAAGAAGTGATTCGGCGTCTTCGGCTCCTTAAACAGCCCATCACCCTTTTTGGAGAAGATGATAATGCCCGTTTAGACAGGTACAAGAATGTCCTGAAGACGGGAACCTTTGAGGTTGACAGTGATGTGACAGAAGGCCAGACAAATGATTTCTTGCGAGATATTGTTGAATTGAAGAAGTGGCAGAAGACTGGGATTATGAGTGACCGAAAGAGGAAAAGCGAAGATTTGGAGGATGGAGAGACAGGTAAAGGAGATGAGGACTTGAGTGGGGAGGGGGCCTCTTCTGGAGTTGATGCTGATAAGGACATAAAACTCATGAAGGCGAAATTTGAGGATTTGTGCGAGGAGGATAAGATTTTGGTATTCTTCAAAAGGCTGCTGAATGAATGGAGACAAGAATTAAATGAAATGCAGGATTTGTCAAGGCGGACTGCAAAAGGAAAGCAGACGGTTGCCACTTTTAAGCAGTGTGGTCGATACTTGACTCCATTGTTTAAATTCTGCAGGAAGAGGGCTCTTCCAGATGACATCAAGAAATCGTTAATGTTTGTTGTGGATTGCTGTATGCAGAGAGACTATCGAACTGCTGTGGATTGTTATATTAAGCTGGCCATTGGAAATGCACCTTGGCCCATCGGTGTTACTATGGTTGGTATCCACGAACGTTCTGCTCGGGAAAAGATTTATACCAATAGTGTTGCCCATATTATGAATGATGAAACCACCCGTAAATATCTGCAGTCTGTCAAACGGCTGGTGACTTTTTGTCAACGCAAATATCCAACTGTGCCATCTAAATCAATTGAATTCAACAGCTTGGCAAATGGTAGTGATTTGCAGGCTCTGCTGATGGATGAGCAGCATTTGGAAGAAGGGAATCACAATTCAGAGGAAAGGCTTCAGTTAATGCCTGCACCAAGGTAATAGCTAATAATCATGTTGATGTCCTTACTTGCTTAGGAAGCTTTCTTGATAGAATATTGTCATATTCTGTCTGTGATTCTGCAAATATAGTTATCTTGTTTTTCGACATGGAATTGTTGTGTGTATTGATCAGGCGTGCTTATAGAGATGTTTGAATCTGCGTCTTGCTGGTTATTGTAGCAATGAAGTATTATTGATGCCAATCACTTGGCTCAAGGAGTCTGGCATCATGGGACTGTGGTTTCAATTCTTATGGCCTGTATAGGTTGGGGTGTTTTAATTGATGCCTTGCTCGTTAGGGTACAATAGTGTACATAATTCTGCTTGTTCTTTTCATTATCTCTGACTCTCTGATCATAGGTTTTACCGTTTTAATATACAGCATTGAAGTGGTCTTTTCAGTGTAATTAAGGATAGAAAACCGAGGACACATCATATGATGGAGCTGAGCATGTTTTGCAAATGTCTTGAGCAAATCAATTTATTGGGCTACCATAGATTTTTTTACCCCCTTGTGTGTGCGTGTGTTTTTTTTTTTTTTTTTTTTTAATCTGGTCATTCTGATGTTGGCATTGTTTGCTTCCCCTGCAAACACTGAAAGAAAAGAATTTAGACAAGTTTTGTGAGTTAATTCATCTCTCTTTCAAAAGTCAAAGTGTCTTATAAGGTGGAAGTTGCATTCCACTGGTTAGTTACTTTGTAGTTGGTTGTTGTTTGACTTGGAAGGCTTCATTTTGAACTTATAATGAGCTCCCATGGTTATTTCACAAGTTCATTAATATCACAAGTTTGCTTCTAATTTCCAAGACTAGGTGTGCGGCATAAACCTAGTTCTTAATGCAAAGTCTGTTCAGTAGTGAGGTCTTGGCTTAATGGTAAAGGTCCATGATATAAGTTTGACACCAAAGCATCCCATGCCTTCCATCCTTAACCACCTTGTTTTGTTTTCAGTGACGAGTGAAGACTGGATCCTTGCAGTAGCAAGCCAACTGCTATACATGAACCCTTCTGATCCCGAGATGTCTGATGATCATCGTGATCTGCATGATCTTGGCAAGTATCCTGATATTATGTGAGATACTTCTACTCTGCCTCAGCCTTGCCTGCTTGATGAACTGCTTCTTTACAAGTTGGTGTAGCTCCTGTCCAACCTTGTAATTCGTACAGGTCACTATGTCTTCACTATATCCTGGTGCATCAGTAGCTACAATGTAGCAACAGTTATCAAGTGAACATGTACGAAACCAAATTTCTGATGCTTTTTAAGTTTATATTGTATTGTGTAATCTCTGTTCCCTTCTTGATACTTCGTATTGTTATCTGACTTAATTGTAAAATAAATACTTTTCATCTTCAAATGATCTAAGCATGGATGTTATCATAATTTCTACTCTCTATAATTAGATGGTCAGATGGCTTTTACGTGCTCTTTGATCTCTCATATTTTGCTTCTACTTTGTCTAAATTTTTCAGGGGTGCACATCAGAGTGTAAAATCAGTTCTTGTAGTTAACAGCTTGAGCTCAATAAATTTTGAACTTTCTTTGTGCGGTGTGTTTGAACCTGAACATAGGATTGCCTATTTAATGGACTTTTCTGTTTGTGCTCATGAACTACTCACCCATATAACCTGCATGAACAATAACTTGATAAGATCATTTGTGATTATTTTTTAAAGATTAGTCGCGTGTCATAGTTTTGGTTAATATTTGCACTCAAATATGAGATTCTCTTAAGCTAATTGTATCTGGTTTAATGTATCAAGTTTACTGACTGTTTTGAGTTTAATTTTGATGATGAGTTCAATGAAGGTAATCTCGACTGTGTATTACGTATTTGTACCATTGGGAGTTGGGGCATATTAAGAGCTTAGGGTTCTAATCTCAAATTCTCATTTCATTGATGTTATGCAAGGGGAAAAAATTAGTAGTTTTGCCAAAAAAAAAAAAAAAGAAAAAAAAAAGTGCTGAAAATGGCATTAGTTGCTTTAACTATTCAAGAAAGAGGTGCTCTTTCATACAATACTACCTACCCTGTAGATAGAAAGTGGTTGCAAAAGGCTGGATATGGAAGGGAGATTTCCAGAATCAGTTGAACTAAACAAAATTTCTTACACGAAGCAACCTCCTGGCTCAATATCTATAAAAGCCCTACATTTGCCAAAGTAATTTCATCATACTCAGTTGACAAAATCATCAAGTTCTGCAACTTGTAATTGTTTTATTTCACTTTTTTGAGTCATGGCTTACACTTATCAGTTTCTCCTCCTGCTGCCAATTTTGCTCATAGCCTTATTATCCCGTATGAATGATATCAAGATTCATGCAGATGCTCGATATCTAGCTGAGATATCAGAGCTTCCACAGCCTGAGCTGCCCTCGTTCCCTGATTTAAGCAATGTGGAACTGCCTCCATTACCTGATCTCTCTTCTCTGCAATCTCTTCAGCTGCCAGCGATTCCCAATTTGCCTGAATTTTTCAGGAACCTCAATCTGCCACAGCTTTCCAATCCCTCTTTCCCTGCCTTCCCGGGTAATCCTCAAGAAACTCCAACTCCTACTGTCACCAAAACTCAGTCAACCACAAACCCCTGAAGCAGCATACTAATGTTTATCTGTTGATCAATCAGAAATTTGGACAGTGTTTATCCGAAGTATTTTCTTTTGGTTTTGGACGATAGGTGTTCATTTACTGATATAAAAGTGGATTGTAATAATCAATTAATGTTCGGCTGTTTGCCATATAATTCATTATTTATGTAATCTGTATATTATTAATTGATATAATCAGAGCAGCTTCTTTGTTTCTGAAATGTTTGTTGTTCGACTGGCATCATGCATTAACCTATGTAATAAAAGACTATATGTCATTATATCAGTTGATATTGTAACATTATCACAGAAACTGTTTCACAGAGCCACAGCACACATCTTTATCTCCTGTTTCACCTAACTAAGAATTATTATGAATTAAAACCCTGTCCTGTGAGGTTGTCAACAGTCTATACCTGAATTCATCTTGTTGTTACGTTGTTTGTGCAAATTCAGCATCATTCGGCTCTGCATTTTCTCCTCCCTTGTAATGTGCTACCATGAATGTGGATCAACTTTTTGGACTTAATATGCACCTATGCTTTTTTATAATGTAGGGAAATAATCCTTAACAATTTATGTAGGTTATGTACGTAACTATTTCGGATGTGATCTTGTGCCTTTTGCAATTCTAGTGCACCCTACAATTTGGGTTGTGATATATTAATACTATTTGGGATGCCCGAGATTAGAAATTGGAGTGGTTGAGAGAGGATGTGAAAGAGACTACTATTTTGAAAGATAAAGAGTGTTACAGTGAAATAATGATGAATCCTTAATCCAGGTATGTAACAATGTGAGAATTTATTCCGGGAGGGAGTTGAAATTCTTTTGAACAATCATGTGTACCTGCTATCAGTTGGATCGAGGAACTGAATGGGATTATAACCCATATACAACGTAAATGTAATTTTAATCAATATTAACATTACCCCAACATGTAGACGGCTTTCTGAAGATACTCAGAGAGAGGAGGGGGGGGGGGGGAAGATAAAATTCATTCAATTTTGCACCTATGATATTATGGGTTCAGCTGTTCTGTATAAGTTTTGTCTCTATGATGATAGTAGTCATAGTACTGTTAGTTTCCAACTTCCCACTCAATCATGCTTACATTTTATGCAAATTCTAGACTCGAATTGTTGAACTTGCTTGAAGGTTACTCTCAAGAATCTAAATAGATTTTCAATTGGCGACATAAATTTCTGCATTAGAGAAGTTCAACAGGCTGTAGATAACTATTTCTTTTGAGGCAGGTTATTCTTTAGATCATCACCAACTTGCCCTTTATTTTTCTTCAAATATCTGCAACAGATGAGAAATTCAAGTAAAAGTTATAAGATACACGTCTGGACAAATCATTCAGATAGGAATTTTTGTATAATATTCTCGATTTCTAACAGACGGAAAAAACAGTGTTTCAGCAAAAATTGGAAGAACAGAAAGTTAAAGAAGTTGATAAACAAGTCAAATCTACCTCTTTATGATGGCTTTAATTAAAATTTGTTAGTGTGAAACAAGGAGTTAAGCTAAGCAATACAATTTTCTCAACCAACAGCTTTTCGTCTTCTCATCATTCACATCATTCATCTATATATTTCCACCTCTGACAATACAAAGCCAGTAACTTTCCTATTTTTCTGAAACCATGGGATATGCTTACTACAAAAACCGTCGTTCACCATTAGCATTAGCTGTCTTACTGATCGCGTTATCATTGATGAGTGACCATCATATCCATGTGGTGGCTCGTCATCTCATGGAAGCAAGTTTGTCTGATGATCTCCCTGAGGTTCCTGACCCCGAGACACCTGATGATCCTGATGACCCTGTAGACGAGAACCCTGTCCCTGCAGCTCCTTACAATCCCTTGTTGCCTCAGCCTAATCTGCCAGAAGTTCCTGGGGATTTACCTGAAGTACCGCCTTCTCCAGAGTTGCCACTCCCTAAATTTCCGACTACCTCAACTCAAGCAGTGGCCACTAGACCATAGTCTGAGCATCAGTAGCTAATTAATATCCGGATATGCACATCACTTGCTTAGCTTGTTTATTTCTGTTGTGTTCTTGTTTTGAAATAATGTGTTGCTTTATGTTTCAGCTGTTATTATTTGGTTTTCTGTGTAATTAATGATATATTGCTATTTTCGACGGATTAACACTTAATTTTATAAATTAGGAAAATGATATATGTAACCCTTAGGTTGGGTTACATTACTTATATAGGAGTTAAAAGTGGAAACTATAAATGAAATACCAGTATAACATCAATACGATGATTTATGCGTGACTTTGTCATGCAATTCTAAATTAATACTCGTAGTCTTGTACCAACTATCCATTTCCTCAAAACACTATTAATATTCTCTAATTTTTCACATAATAAAATTATAAAGAATTGATGTTTTAAAAATACATTCGGGATGACTCTAGCAAGATGTCATGGTGACTATTCTTTCGCTCAGTTTAATTACAAATCACAAATAATGCTACCTCCTTTTGTCCTTGAGCTCTACACCTTTTTTTTTCGTCAAAGAAAAAAAATATTATATAGTAGTAGATAATATTAATAAACGTAAACAATTTTACCGTAGAAGTGGACGTGCCGGAGTGGTTATCGGGCATGACTAGAAATCATGTGGGCTTTGCCCGCGCAGGTTCGAATCCTGCCGTCCACGCTTTTTGGTAAACCTTTTTTAAATTCAACATTTTTTATTGGATTAATACTGTTTTTTAATCCCAACTTTTATCAATTTAGTTTCATTAATCCCAACTTTGAATTATTCCTCAATAATCCCAACTTTAAGGCGGCCTATTATTCTTCAATCCCAAAAACCGGTTACCGGTTGAATGGGTTATTTTTTTTTTTGTTAAAGTGACACGTGTCACAAATTAATTGGTAAAAAAATATTTAAAAAATTAAAAAAAATCAAAAAACCAGCCACCACCCACGAAATCGGCCAGCCTCCCCATGACGTCGTCCGGCTGCCCAAATGCACCGATACTCCCCTAGAAAACCTCTCGCCACCGTCGCCAACTATTTCCCCTCCTTCCCCCTTGGCCCCGGCCACAAAACCCCTTTTCATTTTCTCTCTCCTCTCAATTGACACCAGCCACGAAATCCGGCCACCTGTACGCCGGCCGGTCGTGAATCTCCCTGGAAACCCCTCCCCTACTCTCGAAAACACCTAAACCTCCCTGAAACCTCCGTTTTCGTGGCTGGTGGCTGCAATTTTGAAGATCGCGGCTGTGATTGTGGGTTTCGAGGCTGCGATTTTGGGGTTTTGATGGCTGCATAGGGGAATGGGAGGGGGTTTCGAGGAGAGGGGAAAACAGCTACGACGCAAGGGGTGGGGGAGACGCGGCGTTCCAGCGAGGGGAGGGGCGGCAGACTGGCAGTGGTAGTGGAGGTTAGGGTGGGATGGTGGGTAAGGGGAGGTTAGCTGTTTTGTGGTTTTTTTTTTTTCCGTTTTTGTTTTTGTTTTTTTTTAAAAATTTTTTTAGACCAATCAGGACTTGACACATGTCAAGTGACCTGATATAATATGTTTAGTTGCCGGTTGGGTATGAAGAATGATACGCCACCTTAAAGTTGGGATTATTGAGGAATAATCCAAAGTTGGGATTAATGAAACTAAATTGATAAAAGTTGGGATTAAAACGATATTAATCCTTTTTTATTTTATGGAGTGTTCTTAAGTCTAGTTTAATCATGTTTCCTACTATACATTTTTTCGTTTCATAATACATATTACTTGATAGTGATGATACCTATATAAAGTGAGAGGTTGTATCTAAGTTGTAAACTAATATAGCATATGGAAATGGGATTGTAGCGATTATAATTCGAAAGACATGCGAGTATGTGACAAATTATCGTGTAAGGAAAGGTTGTGAACTACTTTAGTAACAAGAATTTCTCAAGGTGTCTTGACCATTGTGGAACTTAGAAATCTGGAATCATAGGCTTTCGACCCATATATGCCGAAACCAAGAATTCCAAGCTATTCTGTGTTGGTCAATAAGCTTTTTGATCTCTGGTTCTATTATGGACGAAGTGAAAATAAAAATTTGGTACTACCAATTGACCTACTTTACCTACTTTGACCCAATTCATTATTGACTCACGCCAACCCTAACTAGTACCTCCCAATAACCAAGTCTAGTGGCAGTGGACCAGTGGTGGCGATTAGAGTGGTGGTGGTAGAGAGTGATTGATATAAAGAGTATGTTTATGGGTGTGATGATCATTTCCATTGATTATTGTGGGCAATTCTAAGTAATCACGGTTGTGACACTGACATGGTAATCTAAGAAATATAATTACAAATTAAAGAAAAATAGTGGTAATTGTCTAATAGAAACTATTGGTTCTTGGTATAATAGCATTATACCCTATTCCTACCATGTTTGACAACCTTAATTGTACAAATGTTATTTCCTTATGAAAAAAATTCCCACCAAAATTTTTGCTTGTGATATCAAATTTTTTTTTTATTCTTTTATATTTTGTCCATTTAAATTCAAATAATTCGAAAATAATTTTTTTAAAATAAAAATGTATGAATATCATTTAACCAAAAATACATTAATGACTTTTCTTTTCCCAAAAAAACCTCTTGTACATGAATTGGGTAATTTGTTGCAAAGTTAACTTTGTTTATTAAAAAAAATAATTGGCCAAAAACCTGTAATATATATAAATAAAATTGAAATATATTAAAAATAAATTAATGACACACAAGCTAACTAGCTAAGTTGATGATCGATTAGGTAGGACTAACTAATAATCTTTTCTTTAAAAAAAAAATAGTATTTGTTATTAAAAAAATAATTGGCCAAAAACCTGAAATATGTCAATAAAATTGAAATATATTAAAATAATTTAATGACACACAAGCTGACTAGCTAAGTAGATGATCGATTAGGTAGGACTAACTAATAATCTTTTCCTTTAAAAAAAAATTAAAATAATAATCTTTTGAGTTCATTATTCTGCTCAACTAATTCAGTAATTTGCCCTACAAATATACAATATACACCAACTTTTTTTTGTACACCAACTTAATCCTCTTTAGTCTTATATATAAACCCAAAACTTGGCCTTTCTTATATTCTCAATCAAAACTAAATTAAAACTCCAGGGCTAAGAAACTCAGTGCAAACAAACTAACCTAAGCTAAGCTACATACCATGGCAGTTATTCGAAACCACGGCTTCCTCTTCGCTCTCTTGATGATCATTATATCAAGCATTAACGTGAGCCAAGCGACAGCTCGCCATCTACTCCAGACGAGTACTCAACCTCAAACCGCGCTACCTCCCATGGCAATGCCAAACATGCCACAGCCCTCTTTACCAAGCGTTCCACCACAGGCATCAACGACACAGATGCCTTCGTTACCAAGTAATCCGGTGACAACTACCATACCATCACTTCCTACGTCGTTTAGTATCCCTCCTTTGCCAGGAGCAATTGCTTCATTATTGCCTACTAATTTCCCTACCTCCATTTCTTCTATCCCGTTTATGTCTCCTCCTCCGTCCAAGTAATATATACGTTCTACGTACGTACAAGTTCCTTTAATCGCTTTCGATTAGCTTGTTTTGAGCGTTAAATTTTCTCTTTTGGGAAAATTAGTATGTAATTACTTATGTATCATCAAGTAATTACCCCGTTAGAGTGATTGATTGATTTTCAGAGTTTTATTTATAGTTTGTATGATACTATACATTATGTATGGTACGACCGTACGATGATCATGTACTATTCGGTTTGATTTTCAATATATGATGGATTATTATTATTATTATTATTATTATTATTATCATTATTATCACGTGTTATTGGATTATTAATTACGATTATTAAAAATGATTAATTGTATCTACCATTACAGTAAGGAAATTTGATAACAATGCAAGTAAAACTTATTTCGAATCTATTCGACTACTATTAATCATAATGTATACTTTATACGCATGTTCAAAAATCTTTATGCAAACTCGTCATGCCATAACCTTTAAGAAAGTACGCAGTACAATATACAATGATGTAAGCTTATTAACAAGCAAATGTACATTGATTGATTAACAATTTCAACAAACTCATTTGTTTGGGTCCATGGAGGCAGAGTATGTAGCAAAGTTGCCTTGCAGTACAAGAAGCAATCTGGTTGAGAGCCTTTCTACAAGATCTCAACATATCCTCCAAAGCAGATGATCCAGTATTGATGTATTGCGATAACACTGCTGCAATCAAATATGCTCGAGAACCTAAGTTCCATCGAAAGACCAAGCATATTAAGAGGCGTTACCATTTTGTTCGTAATGCTATCAAGGAAAAAAGAAATAGTTCTTAAACATATCCCCACTAATAAGATGGTTGCTGATCCTATGACTAAACCTATCCCTAGAGATGCGTTTCAAACTCATATTAAGAGTTTGGGTTTACGTAGAGTTTGATTTAATGGGATATCTTTTATATGTTGTAATGGACATATGATCTTGAGCATTTATTAATGAAGAATGTGTTTTTTTTTCTTCTTATAATTGTTGTATTAATAGGCACATTTGTTTTTAATGTCATTAAGCTTTGATCGATCAGCTTTCTCACACAGGTGATCTCCCTAGTACCTAAGTGGTAAGTAGGATGAGACTAAAATCATAATTGAGCTAAGTGCGGATAATATTCGTTATTTTTGTATATACAATTTGGTGTATAAAAGAATGATTTCATAAAGTCGCCTTATTTAGTCTAAGATGAGACTTAATCTTATAAGTCGTGTATGAATTGTTCCCAAATTTCATACTAAAGCCTAATGAGCCTAATGGGAGCAATTATTTTTGTGTTGAAGCTCGGTGTAATTACTTGAGTAGAACTTACTATATTCGTATGGCATGGAAGAGTGACATCTCCTAGTAAGTGGGAGTTATGCCATAACATACAAATCATATTGTATGTGCTTAAATATCGACCTATAAGGAAATGTCATCAATTATCCCTTGTTTGTCATTGTGTGAGTCCTATGGACAACTTATTTAGTCCCTATTTTTTATACTCTTTGTACTTAAAGCCATGTTGTGAAGTTAGACTTGGTGGTGCTACTTTAGCATGTTTTCTTAAGGCCATGACCATATACGGTCTGAAAGAACATGTCTACGAAAGCAGTCAAGATTAGATGGATCAATATGTGTGTTGAGGAAACATTAATGCCCGGGAAATCATGACATTTTGTGTTGTTATGATGACATTTTGAATAGTGATTAATTTTGGTACGAGATATATGTATGCCAAAATTTAGTGGTGATCAAACAGTTTGGGGTATAATGATGTGTTCTTGATTTAGCAGTATGTTAGTTAGACGATGGCTTAACATATTATCGGTTTTTTGTTTTATCTTGGTCGCACACTCCACTACTCGTATGAAATGGAATCTCAAGGTTTTTTTATTTTTTTATTTTTTTTTTATTTTTTTGGGGGTAGCCTTATAGCTAAGTGGGAGGTATAATATAGCCTTTGTGGCCAAGCGGGAGATATTGGAGATTAAGTGGCCTCCAAAGTCTATCCTATCTCAAGCAAGTATTTGTTACTTGATCTATATCACTTAAGGGGATAATATCTATATTTTAGGAAAGTAAATAAGATGATATTTATACCGTTTAGAGTTAGTTACACCTAAAATCTTAAGTAATAAGGACTCCTAATATTATAAATATGACATCCGTTGTAGCCAATATACGTACAATTTCACAGAGAAAATAATCCACAAAAAAATTGAGAGTGTTTCCATTAGAGTCATCGTCCTAGATCTGGGTTTTGGAGTGTGACAATTATTGAGGACTCTGGTAGCCCTCCTGGTGCGGTTGTAAGGCGAATTACTCTAGTTCTTGTTTGAGCTTCCGCTTGAAAGATAAGTATTGTGACTTACCCATTTAATTCCTATAGGTTGGATAAATTTTTAGAGCAATATTTTTGTCAAAATTCTAAAAGTTACGGAGTACTTAAAAGCTTACTGACAAAAAGGACCAAAGATATGACCTAAAAACCCAATATCGTGTTTGGACACGTCATATTAATAGTCACGTGTTTCACCCTGATCCATGCTTAAATTCTCAAAACATTTTCATGATACTCATTTTGATTACATTATCTAATCGCTAAACTTTTCTCATTTCATACATTTAATTCATTTATATATGATTATTATTTGCCATTTAATATACCAATGCACTATTATTTCTTAGTGCTACAATTTAAAATTTATGTCGTAGGACTAACATGTTCTAACAAGTTAATTAGGCAATTCGATAAGCGTGGCATAACCTTATCGAATCATCAGTCATATCAGCAACATCAAAATTCAAAAAGCCAACATATGTACGTGAAATCTTATGGTTCAAGTAAGAAAAATTTGAACTAGCTTTGAGCCACTTAGAAAGTGCTATAACATTTCTTAGTTGAACTAACTAGGAATATAATAACCAAGTAAGAAGCAAATATTCTTCAAACTTTGCTCAACGACAATACTCGTACCATTATTTTTTTTGTTAACCAACTTACCTACTTTTAAAGTCTTAACAACCATACTCTTTAATCTTCATATCATACACTATAAATACCCCTTGCTAGTAAATCTTTATTCATCACAAAAATCTCTTACCTTTTAATTAGTAACATCTAACATACACCCTTAGACAACTTCTAATATAATTAAGTTGCACAAATGGCTTCTAAATTCATCTTAGTAGCTATCTTCATCGCCGCCTTGTCGATGACAAGCATTGAAGGAGGCCGCCACCTTCTCCAAACAACAACGGCTCCTCAGACGGGGTTGCCCACGATCCCAAACATGCCTAGTATACCAAATTTCCCTATGGCTTTCCCTCCAATTCCGAACATGCCTACTACAATTGCCTCCATTCCAAGGTTGGCTTTCCCTCCGATTCCAAACATGCCTTCTATCCCCTTCCCTACTTCTATCCCGTCTCTCACGCCACCACCTTCCAACTGAGATTTCGAGTTTATACGTAATGTATTGCCTTCTACGGGCCGGGGAAGGATATATATACGCTTGTTTAAGTTTTGCTCTTTTTTATGCTTGGTTTGTATGGCTTTGTATTGATGTAATCTTGTATTTATTTTCCTTTTATATATAGAATACTTGTGTTATTTTTACTTTTATTAATCCTTCATTCTAGTATAAAATTAAATGAACACTTTCCATTTTATTTTTGAGACAAAATAGTTTGAGCCTTTCTTTAGTAATATCACCCCACCAATCATCTATTTTACGTATATGCACATAATACACACGTGAAGTTATATCATCAATATAACAGATAACTCTATATACAAAATAATATACGTAGTATATGATCTTACAAATACTTGTATGTACTTATTTGAGAATTGAGATAATTATTAAGCGAGCAAATCAGCAAATACAGCTAATAAATTATTATATTCTATGCAATCGAGAACATGAATGATGAAACTCAGCTTGATCTTAAAATAACCTATTATTACAATTTATATAAATATAATAACATAAATTAAGTTTAAAAGAGAAGAGCATAAAAAGAGCAAAGATCGCATAAAAGAGCATCAAGTTTGTATAAAAAAGAGCAAAATAGAAGAACATAAAGTTTTATACTGAAAGGATATCTAGTGAATGAAAATGTAGAGTACAATTTAAACAAAAGATTAAGAAAGTTTTGCATGATTAAAAAAAATCCCTTAATTTAATTAGGAGGAGCATATTGCACATTATACTTCTAGAGTTTCAAATTTACAAACACTTCGTATATCATAATAACATCATTAATTTCAATACCATTAGATCGAGGCACAATGCAAATTAGACTGAGACACAAAGATATCGTAACAAAACTTCTCTCACCACACTTTCTCACAATAAGTACCAATATGATTATATTGCAACTAATTTTGAACAACTTGCAAAAAGTGAAAATATGAAATAATTTAGAGGATTGAGTTTATTTATTTATTTATTTATTTTAGCTAGGTTCTTGAAAATCATTTTAATTTGTTCAAAAGCGTATGAGTAATTCATGTCATGCGATATCAAATCATAAAATCATTTTGAAATCATTGCTCGGTTTAAAAGCCTAAATTTTGAAATTTGTTATATACACTCGAAATGCACCGTACACCCAACTAATCCAAATAAGATTAAGATATATATGAGTGTACCGTATACGCGAGTGTATATAACAATATCTTCTACATTTTAGAGATGGATTCGGGGTCGGGTCAGTTTTTGTCATTTGACAAGTGTACCCTTCTTCACCCCCAGCCCAGGTGAATATATCTAAGCCGGCTAAAGCCCGTTACTCTAAAAAAAAACCTAGTCGCAAATTCACAATCATCTGAGAATAGTGAAGAAGCATTAGATCAACCGGAAAAAAAATGGGAATAGAGAAGGAAATTCTCAGGCCAGGCTCCGGTCCCAAGCCGGTATCCGGTCAGAAAGTCACCGTTCATTGCACTGGTTATGGTATACTCTCTCTCCTTCCCTTTTTATTTGTTTTCTTGTAAATTATTTAATTTTTTTCTTAGGGTTTATTATTGTTTTTTTGTGAAGATTATATCTTGATTATATTATTTTTTAGCTAATTAATTCTTGTTCATTAGATTATGCTATTTTTTTAAATGTATAATATTAAGTTTTAGCGAAAAAATAAGTTAAGTTCGGCAAAAATTAGTTAGTTCCATAAAAACTGATTGAAAAATTGATTCTTGTATAATGTTATTTTTTTTTTATGTTTTTTTTTGGTAGTTCTGATTGGTACTGCTAGATGCATTGTTTTGTAATAATTAATTTGCAAATTTGATTGTGGTTAAATTTGCTAATTATGCTTGTTTAAATTGTGAAAATGGTGCAGGGAAAGATAGGGATCTCTCTCAGAAGTTCTGGAGGTATAATGGGTTTTATTTCTTTTGTTTTAGCTAGTTTGAACTGCAAAATCAACACTAAATCCTAGTTAGATGTGTAGCTTATTAGTACTTCACGATTTCGTTACGCTAAATCGTTTCGTTCACTTGGCTTTTATAACAGCACCAAGGATCCTGGGCAGCAAACATTTTCATTCAATGTTGGCAAAGGAAATGTGATTAAAGGTATGATAGTGAAAACTTTCTACCCTTTATCCTTTAATTCGGTATGATGTGTTTCTAAATGTGTACTTTGTAGTGTATTTATTGTTTGTTGCTAGCATTTACACATATCTTTGATGTCAAGACTAATTTCTGTATTGTGAAAGATTATTTGTTTTCTTGATGTGATTTGGTATATGATAAGCAATCAAACATTCTGATAGCCCAAGCTGAATCTTGTTTAGTATGCTTTGTTGGCAAGGAGAATAGGAAATGATGATATAAGTTTGTTTGGTGTGGATGAATTTGTATCTAGTTGTTGTCTTCCTCTAAATTGTCCTCATATTTTGAAGCACAGCTAAACAAGGAAAAGCTAACTGTGAACTAATATGATCAGCTAATGTATGAATAATATGTTAATTATTGGTAAGAGTGAATTGTTTTTTGGATCCTTGGTTAAGCCCTTCCGTGCTCTGTTCTGAATTGTTAACCATTTTGAAAGTCGTATCATATGACAAATAATGATACGATTTAAAAGCCCTCCCCCCCCCCCCCTCCTTTTCCGTCCTTCTTTGCCTTAGGAATCAGGGTAGATATTGGCTAATCATCTCTGATGCACTTCATGTGTATCACATTTTTGTTTTTTGTGTGATGTCACTGAGAAACAATCAATAAGCCACCTCAAGTACTTGTTAGTTCTTGCAGCCTTACATCTTAGATTCTGGAGCTATTCTATATCCAGCTTCATGAACTATTTCATTTAAATGCTCATGTATGTTCTCCAATGCTTCGGGTGATCCTCCTAAGAAGGCCTCTGTTTGCAAGATGGCTCTCCGTTTAGCCCGAATCTCCTAAACATCCATGATACATGTGTCAAATGTATTCTCTCTTTTATACTGGGGTTACTGGAAGTCTTATGAATCATGATTGACAGGTCATGCTGAAAATTACAAATAGTAAAACTTATTTCTTCTCGTGACTACAATATTCGTGATGCAAATTTCACTGTACATGTTTCCTCTTCCCTTGAGCATATACCTGATTGGGTTAGCAACTTAGCAAGTCCATAAACTAGAATTTCCTCCTTTTTTTTTTTTCCGGCTGCTGGAAACCTCAAGTAAATTGATCTGACAGGTGCAAAATTTGTAGATATCTATCAGTTGAATGTAACTCATATATCACTTCTGCTGCCAAGCTAATGCTTTTAATGGAATTGATTACAACCTTATTATCTTCTGCATGGTTTTGTGCTACCTTGTTATTGATCTGAAATATTCAGCTAGTTATTGAGTATTGTCTGTAATGATTTTAGGATGGGATGAAGGTGTGCTCGGAATGCAAGTGGGTGAAGTTGCTCGTTTAACGGTAAGTATTGCTCCTCTTTTTATACTTTGTCACCAGTGTGTATCTCCTGTTGGGTAGATCTGTTCGGTTCCAACACTATGCTAAACTAGTGCTGGATAAAATGTGGCATAATCCAAAGTCTCAGCTTGAAACCATCCCAAACTGAAATTAGTTTTTGAAAGCTGAAAATCTTGAAATAGTTGTTTCTAGCATTATGTTGTCTGTTTTCCAAATTAACATAACTACTTATTATAGACATAATTATATAAGTCATATTATTACCTATTTTAAGTTGATTACAGTGCAATTTATATCAGATAACATTTGAAATCACAAAGCCAACAATTACCTGAGTATGATACTGAACAAGCTTGAACCCTCCACCCAATACATACCGTACTCTGTATTCGGCAGAAGCTTCTCTCTTTAAATGTTATGTTCTACATAAACAATTTTATTTTGTAAATCTGTTTGCTAATGAAAAGACTTATGGATCCAAAATTATTGTTCAAATTTTCAGTGCACTCCGGACTATGCTTATGGCGCTGGCGGATTTCCTGCATGGGGAATACAACCTAACTCCACCCTGGTGTTTGAGATTGAAGTGTTGAGCGCTCAGTAATTAGCTGCTTACATTTTAGTAAAACCATTTTCACAAAACCAAGAATAAGATGTAGAACTATGGTTGTCTGATTATCTGCTTGACTTAACATGTATGTGCTATTGTGCAATGCTAGTATTCATCTTTGTGTGCATCAAGCCTTATAATCTCAATTGTTCTACCTACGAAGTAGGCAAGTAGTGTTTTTTCCGATTCGTTCAGTTATTTACAAAATGCAGTGCTGCTTATGTGAGGATTGCTTTACGATGGGGAATTGTAGGAGGGTGGATTTCTGGGCATTTCAACTGCACAAAAACTCGAAAGAGATGTTCTTGGTTGGGTATCTTGTTCATAATCGATTATGGTTGAGGTACTTTAAATAATACTCAACGTTCAAGGTTCAGCTGTTTGGGTGCCTGAGATCCCAGAAGTTTTAGTAATTATACCTGATCTGATTAACTTTAACCATAATTATGTAACTCAAATCTAAAAAATTTAAATCTTAATACAGAAAGTTAATTCTTTTTATAAGCATGAAGATGGAGATTATATGTGGAAGGCTATGTTTAATTCGACTAATTTAAGTTGATTACGGAAATTACCCTAGTAGCCATGTTCATGTATCGGATGGAGGATACAAATCATACAACCGATGGGTTGTCTAGTGCCTAAGCCTCCTGATAATGAAGTACGAGTAGTTCGTATTAAGTTTTGATACAGAGAAAATTAAATCTAGCAAACTCTCACAAAAGTTTGTTGTAGAGAAAATAATTTTGATTTAGTAAATAAATTTGGATAAGTAGTATTTTTATTATTTTGAGGAACGGATTATTTAAGTAGTATATGTTTATTACTCCGTAAAATTTAGTAAGAATAGAACATAGCTTTCGTCATTTAATCTCATTGTCTTTAATTCCAATTTGATATAAGTAATAATTAATGTATTTATAATCATCACATTCATGATCAACAAAATGAAATTGCAATAACCAAAAGTATAATGCATTGTGATTAGGTTAAGTTAGTGTAAGTATTGAGAATTAAACATTATCACTTGCTGATTGGCTTTAATTTTATAAAATAAATAAATTAAAAAAAAATTTAAAAAAAAAAAAAAAAAAACCATTGAAAACATTCATCAAACAAAGTATATCAATCAATCAATCACGTCCCCTTCTATTTCTATTTCTTTTTTTTCTAAGTAAATCACTAATTATTTTTTTTATTAGATAAAACCCTTATATTTAATTGTCTAATACTTGTATAAACTAATCTTTGATGTCCCATTTTCCGCATATTAGTCTAGAAGTGACTTCTTTCGGCTTATGTAATAATATGTCTACTTTGTCTTAAAAAATATTTAGTAACATTTTTACATATTATTTATCATTGTTCTAAAGGAAAAAATAAAAATTTATTTTCGTCAAATATATAATGAATCCTTTTTAATCGTAGCCAATAAACAAAATATACTTTTTAAAAATAAATCATGATTATATTCACCACGAGGTGGTTGACGCGAAAAATCACTCACCTCACGCCTATGGGTAAAAATTAGCAAAAGGAGAGTTGATTGGCCAAACTTTAAATTATGTAATTACATTAAACTAAATAATCTAGTATACTTAATTCATCTTTGACTATAATATGATTTAATTATCATCACAATAAAGAAGGAATTCCTAAAATTAAGGCTTTTAATTTTGAAATAGTGAAATGAAATTAGTGGGACCTATAAATGTCACCAAAATGGTAGACCTTATTATGTGACAAATGAACTTGCTTAGCTACTTTGATGTTTGTTCCCTCCACTTGAAGCAAATGGCTAATGACACCAAGCGTGTTATTGTTAATTATTTAATTCATTATAGCTTAATTGAATTTATTATCATATATAGGTGGTGAATTATCAATTGACCCACAAGGGTTAATAGATTTTGAGGTGAAGAGATGAAGTAGTATTTGTGAAGCTTGATCATTCATGTTTTAGGCACGAGTTACAGTTGAAAGAATGATTTAATTCTATTAAATTCGATGTTTAAGTAAAAAATTATCATGAAAAAATATGAATGATAATTCACTCTCTAAAAAATATCAATTTTACATATCTCAGTTACTATAATCATTTAACATACAACAATACAACCACTACTACATATAATTAAGATCATACCACTATAAAACATGTCGCACCACAACTAATCAAAGAACTGCTACCAAGCTTTAACTTCATACTTGAATTTATTTCCTAGCTTGAGATTGGATCTTTGAGCAACTCTTTAGGGTTTCCCAATAGAATTGTTTTCATTTTGATTATTCACTCATAAGAATTTAGATCAAGCAAGTAGAGGTGATAATCAATAGCACTATCCCGTCGGGCTAAAAAGCTAAGCACGGGTTTGGACAAGCGTGAAAACGTAGTTTTAGTTCAATCAAAATATGTCCGATCCGAACAACACTCGATAAGTCCAATATTATTTTACGGATTTGAGTATAAGATTTTATACAAAGGCTCGCCCCGGACATATTATTTTCATCACCTCTACAAGCATGTTGATTGTTGAATACTTGTACCTCACAAATATTGCCTAACTTTGAAAATAACAATAATTACTAACTCGATTGTCTTTGTCAACTGCAAAGTACATTTTACAGTGACAGACATTATTTTGTGCCTTTGTGGGTATCAATCTATCAATGAATCAATCTCCATGTCAAGTTTAAATCCTCCAATTAGATCATAAAAAGTGATGTGAAAATTTATTTAAATCTTAAAATTGGATAATTGGATTAAGCATACATTTCTGCAAGGTTAGTGGGAGAGTGAACCTCATTTTAGGATTAAGAAATTACCTACATGTACTTTTGGAACAAATGAACTATTTGTAATTTTGTAGTATAGTAATAGCATCATGAATTAATGACATAATGTACTTTTGGAACAAATGGACTATTTGTAATTTTGTAGTATAGTAATTGGACGTCTCTCATTTCAACTATGATAGAAAAACTTAGTTAATAGCATGAAACTAGTTTTTGTTTGTGATAATAGTTTATCTAGATGTTTGTGTTAAATGACTAAATTTACTTCGTATTATTCTACTACGTACATAAATTTTCAATGCTTGGGCATTTAGTTTGTGTCACAAGACTAAAGATAGATTCGTAAAAGGGTGTGTCAATTTTTATTTATTTATTTATTACAGGAAAGGAGAAGGACTCTTACCACAGTCCTCATGGTTATGATTTTTTGGTCCAATATTTAAGGGTCAGATACTTTAAGAGTGTGGGGGGAAGGGTAAGAAATCCCTTCCTTCAAAGTGTCTCTAATGCGATTGAATCCTATTAAAGTGCAATTCTTTCCACTAAACCAGGCTTAGATTGATGTAAAGGAAATATATAAACACCACATAAAATTGGATACTTTTTTGTTGTAAAATTATGTACAAACAATGTAAAATATGAAAACATGATATGTGTGATGTTACATATGACTGCCTAATTAGCGGCCAGTATAAAGTTCTTTGGCATTCATCCATAGATGAACATTATCTACTGCACGTCGGCACATGTACAATTGCATAAAAAAGAAACAAGTGAAAATACAACACATGCACAAATTTAGTATTGTACTATTTGTTATATTACGAGTACCATGCATAACAAATTAACAATTATAGATTTATGGAATAATTTTAGGTGGACATTGTCTAGGGATAAAAGGTATAGAACTCTACAACCAACCGTGCAACTATTATACGGAGTACCATTTTACAAATTTAAACCTTATTATCCTCCATAAAAAGTGTTAGATACGTATAAATACGATTTTCAATCAATCATACTAAAACCTGTAAAACTCTATATACAAAATAAGAGAAAACTACTAGATTATTAATTTCAATCAGCTCTATTGGCAAATTCAATTTAATTAGCAAAATTAAAATCAAGTCAACTAATAAAAATAATTTTAGTTTAGTAAAAACTAAGTGGTATGATAAACATACTTCTAATCAATAAAGTTGTGAAGAGATGGTATATTATACCAGAATAAATCAATATCACACAAAATAATGACTTAAAAAATCAATTTCCCAAACTTTACATTTTATTGATAAACTGGTTTGACAAATTGACATGGATGTCTCACCCAACTTCATCAACTTATCCATTATTATTCTTACTTAAAAATATGCACACTACGGCACCACCTACTAGTTTTTTTTTTTTTTTTTTTTTTTTTGGGACTTCCCCTCTTTCATTTTTCGTTCAAATTGTTGAAAATGCACATTTGGTAGAATTTTTTTAGACTAGTAAAATAATAACATTAGTATATCACACTTTCACACCACCAATTTTTTACTCCTCCTATGAGGGATCGTTCTATTAATCTCATTTTTACTTATCTTTTATGGAGTAATAACTTATTATTTCGTATATTTTATCTGAATATAACAAAAGTTATTAGACTTTATTTTAAATATAAATAAATTAAATTTAGGTAACCTTATGTGTCCTAACTCCTAAGTTGAACTTTCGGAAACGAAAAGGGCGTGTCATTTCATCAATATCAATTTATATGTTCTTTATTACGAATATAAGTGTCAATTCGGATGTTCGAAGAGGTCGGGTCGGGTCTAATTTCAAACTTAAGTCATTAATAAATTATTATGTCGATACAAGTTAAAATTTAAATCGAATATTTTTAGATTAATTTCGAATCAGCTTGATCGGGTCAGGTTTTGACGCCTCTAATTATGTAAGTATAATCTTTAATGGCATGTCATTGAAGAGTTTGGCAAAATATTACCCCCGTGCGGTTGACACTTTTGACACTGCATACAAAAAGGTTGGGGGTAATCCAGTGAGATCACAATTTATCTTCTTCGATTAATTTAATTTAATTTAATTTAATTTTAACAACATCAACAAAAAAAAAATCTCTATAAAATCATCCTTCTGCCTTCTCACCCCCTTTTGACTGTTGTATTCTCACCCTCTTTCTCTCTCTCTTAACCCACCATTTCTCCTGAACTCTTTCTCTCTCCCTTTATTTGCAGTTTGCAGTCAGTAATTGGTTCATCTGATCAAACTACTCAGCAATTTCCCATCTTTTTCATTCACCTGAAATTAGTTGGTAAGTTTTGATTTTTTTTATGATTTTTTGTTTGGTAAGATCAAAGAGATTAAGAATTGATTGTTTGTTTGGTGAATTGTAGCTGAAGAATGAAGAAAGTTACCCAATACTTAAAAACCCATGTTTGTTTTGTGTATTAATTCTTAAAAATTTTATGGGTTTGAAAAAAATATATGATTTTGGTTGTACCCATGATCTCAAATTGTCGTTAGTGAATTTTGAGGATTAGGGTTTTTGGTAATTGATATGATACTAAAGAAAAGATGACGGAAGTTATTTCCTGTATAAATGTATAATTATCATACAAGTACAAAGAAGAAAGTAAAGTGATTACTTGGTAGTTTTTTAATTTATATATTTTTTTTTATCTATTTATTTGATAATTATGTAATTTGCAGCTTCAAAATTTGTATTTATTTAATTATTATTTAAATTGCAGCTTCAAAGTTTTTAGCCTCATGAATTAGTATCATAGACATAGTATGTGAATGTTAGAATATATCGTCGCCTTTCATTGATTATCTTGAGAGTATAAATATGCAAATTTACATGAGATAATCTTGCGTATTGACTAGCTACCACTTAGGCTAGAAGATATACATTAACCAAAAATAGTTATATACAAAGTCAAACTAGAATATATTGCCATATATTCTAACAGTGAATATAGTTTATGTATGTTTTTGTTGTTCTGAAAAATTTGAGTATGAATTATACTTTGTGGCTTGTTATACTTATAGCATGATTCTTTATTACCTTTCTTCTTAGTGTTTACTGATTGAAGGTTAGGCTGTGTACATATTTAGCTGCCTTGCCGCGAATGGCGGAATTTATACTGGTTATCGTTGTAGGCTTGTAGCTCTTTCGTCCCCTTTAGATGTCGGAATTCACTGATTGTAGTTGTTGCCGTTGTTGTTGCTCTTTCACCCCTTTCGTTATGAGAATCCATACTGGTTGTTGTTTCTGTTTCATCTAGAAAATCGTATATTGTTATTAAATTGCTGTCCATTTTCGTGCAGGATCTTTATGTACCTTTAGGTTTTGTGATTTCGCAAACTTCAGGATAGGGAAAAAACAGCATGTGTTGGTTCTGCTCTTCCATTGATGTACACCGCTATGTTATCTCTTTGAACTTGTACTGTAAGGTTATACTGTAAAGTGTCACCCTTTTTCCGTTAATCTTCAATTACTCATTAACTGAATTTTCCGTCATTTACCATGGGATCTAACCACGTCGCCGTCGTTCCCTGGTTCTGGTACATTATTATCTAGATTTAAGAATAGATATAGAGTTGTTCTAATTTAGAACTTGTAGTATTTTTGTGTCTTCCTTCCATTGTCAGCGTTTAACTACCATTCCACTATAATATCCCTTTGGTGTCATTCTCCTTCAGTAATTCGGCCTCTTGTATTTCCTTAGAAATCATCCTTCCTTGTTTGTAGCAGTGGCAGTAGTATTTCGGCCTCTTTTATTGCTCATTTTGAGGGTAGTATCTGAAAGGATTTAGTAGTAGTTATGGTGTGTCAAGGAGCAAGCCAGTCAAGATTTCGGGCATTGAAGCATGAGAATGGGATCGCAGGAAAAGCAACCATTATAGTTAGAGTTATAGCTTGTTTTCAACTTTTGCAGGATTGCCAGGTATGTGTCAATTACTTCCCTTCAACTCAATCAGATGCATTGCTTTCTGCTAATGAAGATGAGCTTTGAGTATCTACTGATGATGCAATTCATTTTTTGTTGCCTGCAGGCTGAATATTTTCGTCATTTGCTTAAACCTGTAACGTAGATTGGATTTGCACTAGCTGTTGTTTGTTTTCTGTTCAATATTTCGCATTTTTTTCTTCTATATTATAATCTTGAGGGAGAGGCTGAATATATCATATTGAAGCATCTATAATATTGGTTAGTATCAAAACTTATTACCATTCATTCTCGTAAAAAATATTCGTCTGGTTTGTGTAATAGTTAATGAAATTTCTCCCTTTCCAACATTAGGTGGGTTTTTTCAGTTTAATGGTTGAGCTGAGTAGCTCTTGGCTTTGTCAGCAACATTTTCCTTTGGAATCATCTGCTTTCAGAAACTGCATGATTGCACCTGTTGAGCACAGGCAACACGAGTTTTTGCCTGCTTCTAAAAACCCTTGCAGGGTTTCAGCAAACTTGGACTTGAATGGATTTGGGTATTCTGGATTTCCCGAAAGAGGCCTTACGATTGAAGATTATGGCTCAATACAAAAATCGGTTCCCCATTCTCAGACCCCACTTACTCAAAATCAATATCACGGAGAACAGAATCCTCTGTTTCCAGCTAAAGATGGTGGTGGTGAGAAGCCATCAACGTGTGAATTACCTTCTGCTCAACAGAAGAAGTTTCTCATTTTTGATCGGTCAGGAAATGAAACCAGACTTATCTTTAGTTCTCTGTGTCCTCGGGTGGAGAATCTTAAAACTCCACTAACTACTACTTGTCCTGCTTGGAATCTGCCAGCTGAAGAGTCATTTGGTGCATGCCACCAATATCTTGCTGAAAAACAAGGAAGAATCATCGAACAAGCCTGGACTAAGACACCTGCTTTATGTGAGGAGTCAGGTGAAAATGAAATTATTGACGAAATCAGTGAAATGCGTGAAGACACAGAAGAAATTAATGCCTTGCTTTATTCTGAGGATGACAATGATGATAATGATGATGGCTTGGACGATGATGATTGTGATGGTGAGGATGATGATGAAGTGAGCAGCGGTCACTCTCCATTGGCCAAAGAGATCAGAGATTGTGAGAAGCAGGAGGACCAAGAGGGTGAAAAATATTTTTATAATCAATTGGCTAGTTTAGAAAGATCTTCAAAGCGACAGAAAGCCCTTCATGGTGGGTTTAATAGAATGCGGCATAGCCCTGCATACGAGGATGTCAATGATGGGGGTCTCATCGATGCTCTCAGTGAGAGAATGTGTCCTACGATTGGTACCAAGAGGCCTAGAAAAGATAAAATCCATGATACATTGAGAGTTCTTGAAGGTATAATTCCTGGTTTGACGTGCAAGGATCCATTAGTGATCCTAGACGAAGCCATCAGCTATTTAAAAGGTTTGAAGTACAATGCTGAGACCATGTCATCAGGAGATCCAGATAGCTCCAGCTCCTACGAACCTCTAAATTGAACGTCCTTAGTCATAGTCCAAGTTATCCGTATAACGTACTACTCAAAGCCAGAGTGAGGAACTCCGCTTGTAAGTAGGTCCTTGTACGCTGTTATTTTCTTCTACTGGGATTGTACATAATTGCGTAATAAACACATAGCAAGAGGGTGCAAAGGTGAGCTCTACGGCCTCAGATCAAATCCGATGGTGGTCATAATAGCACGAAATGAGGCCTCGATCATTGTCGTTGTTGACAAGTAATGATAGTAATACTTTTCGGGTGTCGAAAAAGTCTTGGAATAGAACGCATGGGGGATGACTAGTGCTTGTTTGTGCTGGAAAATGACCCAAGGCAGGGACCCTGAAATTTGAAGGAAGAAAGACTAATATGGCTTCTTAGCAGCATGCGCATTAAGTTAAAAAAGGCCCCCACTTTTTTTTTTTTTTTTTTTTTACCTCTTATTATTCTTTCTTGAGCTTTCATTTCTTTAAAGAGGGCCCCTTTTATCTTTTCTTTGCTTTTCTTTCTTAGCCTGAATTGATTAGGCCCCATGCTTTTCATAAGCCCTTGTCTTAAAGTGTTCTCTTAGTGGTTTACTTGGTTACTGTCATGAGTTTGTCTGTAATATATAATTATGTATGTTGCTTTTGTGATTAGTATATTTTGATCATGTACCTTATTTGCACTCGGCCGAACGGTTAAAAGACAAAAAAAAACCTCGGCTAAAAATGAATTTCGAGCGTTCCTGAGGGTTACGCTTTAAGGGGCAAATTAGTAATTTTACGTAATCACGACGTATTCAAGTATTGTACTGTTGTATTGTAGTGCAATTTGTTTAGTGAGAAATGAAATGAAATGTCATGTTACATCTTTTGTGCACCAGAAGAGGCTGTCTCCTTGCTATTTGGATGAGGGATTTTTGGGACCCAATAAAGATCATAATAGATTTGTAATTGAGAATTGTTGGCTAAAATGTGGGGTTACATACTTTTTTATATTATAAGAATACAAAATGAAATTATGGTTATATTCATGGCGGTGGCTTATTTATAATTTTGTGCACCCACCTGGCCTTGCTTCTTATGGTTTTTCTTCAAGTCAATGATTAGGGTATTTTAGTCTTTTTTTTCATTGGCTGCTTCTTTTCTCATGGATCTAATCATCTACTTTTACAACTTAGCTATATCTATAATTTGACCTAGGAAGTGAATGACAGAAATGCATATGAAACTAGATATTTTTGGGATGAATGAAATCTATTGATTTTCAATATTGATTTTAGAATCAATTACATACATGTTTATTACAACATAACAATAATTGCATGTATTTTTTGACTAAATGTGTTTTCAGTGTTTATAGATCGAGATTAATATATGTCTTGTTAATCTTTTAAAACCTCCTATTATCTAATTACGTAGACATGTACTAAAGACAAGTTTATTAGGATTAAGATAATTTTATTTAGATTGCATTCAAGTGGCGTGTGTTTGATTATTATGATAAACTGTTTAATTAAAGCCATAATCAATTTCAATCAGTGATCAAGTCGAGTTGGTATGGACCACATGATTCCAACTTCCAATCAACTTCACAAATCTAGATTTGTGTATAGTTTCAAGTATAAACCAGGTCATTCACGCTCAATCAATTAACCATTTTTACCTACATTGTTACACTAATAAGGAATATATGATGTGTACGAATTAGGTAGAATTAAAAAAAAAAAAAAAAAAAAAAAAAAAACTCTTCCATAACTAATTCTATGTTAAATCCTTTGGAATGTGAATAATTAAGATAGTTATTGAATTTACCTAATGTGATGTTTAATTGTCTATAATTTGGACTTAGTACGAGTTAAAAAGAATTGTGTATCATACAACTCACTTCAATGAGTAATCTTTTCACCCTTTTTAAGGCTGTCTTTTGTGGACTACTGAAGAAAATTTTATAAAGTTACAAAAAATTGAGTTTGATGTGGTGCCAATAAGTGCCAAAGATTTCGCGTGATCGCAATTTACCAAAAAGTACAAGTCACTTTTTAAGTCACTGCATTTTTGAAAAAGAAATAAATTTTAATTTTATATTTGATAAGGTTACTTTTGAAGCCTTCAATTAAATTAGAGTTAATGCTAGAATGATGTTGTTTCTGTTCATGATTAACAAGTTTAAATAGTTTCTTCCATTAGCTTTTCATAAAGAGAGGCTCCTGCTTAAAAGGGAAATAGTCTCCCTTTTTATTTTCCTCTTTTTCTTTATTTCTTTGCATTTTTTTGATTCAAAAACTTTTGTATACACCCGGTTTACACTAATTTTACTGTACATCGAGTAGTATAAGGGTAACTTTTACCTAATTTTAGGGTAACTTTTTGCCTTTTTTTGGGTAACTTTTAACATAATACAATTTTTATATAAATAGACAATAAGAAAAGTTTTATAATGGTAATTTAATTACATTTAATCACAAATAATTGATTTTTAGTCATTTAAAATGTGATTCTTTACTAATAATTTTTATTTGTATTGGATTACGTTTATGCATATTAGGGTAACTTTTATTTATTTTAGGGGTAACTTTTGATCAATCTAGTCTATCTTTAAAATGGATGTACAATAATTATTGTACACCCGATTTTTTTTAAAGTTTGTGTTTCTGATTTCGGGAATAATATTTTAGTTGATGAAAATCATATTCTAGTTTTTATTTATTCCCAAATCCTAGATAAATTATACGATGTACTCTTTATAAAGGTAGAATTAAAAATAGCCAAGGATTTTATTTAGCTATAATAGTAGAATAAAGTTGGTTTTACAGTATTCCATATGTTTCGGAATGGCAATGTACAAGTACATACATAAACATGTGCATTGTGTATTTCAAAGCATAAAAAATATAAAATTAATATTTGCAAAAAAAAAAATAAAATAATCCAACAATATATTTCGTAGTACACAAAAACATATGAAATATAGATGACAAATTAAATCCTTTATGTATTAGAAAACGTGCATGATCCAGTTAATAATCAAAATGCTGCATATATTTTTGAATGGGAGGGATCAGTGGCGGAGCCAGGATTTTCAACTTGGGGGGACAAAATGCTTAACTTACGAAAAGCTTAACAAAAAAAAAAAAACAAAAATTGTCGAAGATCGGGTTGTTTAGTTGCCTTTGATTTGGTACATTACTATTACTTGAACCACCCATTTCCATACTATTTTCTTGACTTTGAGGGGAGCTAAATGAAGGTGAGTTATTGGACTCATTTTCATTGGACTCATTTTCATTGAGTTTCGTTCTTTTAAACAAGAATTGTCGAAGATCGGGTTGTTTAGTTGCCTTTGATTTGTTTGAATTTGGTGAATCGTTTGACATTTCCTAATTAAATCGAAAATTATATATCAATTTCCACAAGACCACAATCCACATCATTACATAATAACAAAACCTAAGAGGCTAAGATTTTAAATTTCTAATTCAACTACACATTTCAATAATTTACAATAATTAATAAATTTAAATTCACATTTCACAAAAACAACCAAAAACTCTAACAGGGGAAACAATCAAACAAATATAAATCAATAATCATTTATCAATTCAAATTATTCAATAATCAATACCCACGATTCCATAAGCAGCTCTCCATTTCTACCCCTTATTTCAATCTCATCATATTATTATAGCTAAGAAATCAAATATACTTTCTTCATTTTAATACTCAGAAAAATTAATCAAACAAGTAAAATCAGCAACATTTTAAACCAAAACTAAGACAATCAACTTATATAATATAAACACAGTAATTGAATGCTCATCATCAATGACTAAAACCCACAAAAAATAACCATCATTGAAACTCTTAATCAAACCAAACACATTAATAATCACCCATATTGTTCATATTAAGAAGAAAAAAAAAAAACCAATCTTTAAACCCAACATTAATCAGATCAATCAATACAGAAACCAACAGAGAATTCTAAAACAAACCCAGAAACCAAATTAGCAAAGACAAGAAGGGTTACCTTCAAATTATTGAAATTCCTGATTAAGACTGAATTGGATTATAAAAAAGCCGGCAATATGAAGCTAAATAGAATAAAAAGGAGATTAACCCAGAAATCAAAATTAAATTTCAGCTGGAGTGACAAGGCCACAAATGACAAATTCACAATAAAAATATAAACAATTAAACATTTAAACAAGTAATAAAAATATGAAATTCAGAATTTCAGATTTACTGTAAATTTAAACAATTAAACATTTAAACAACAAAACAAGTAATCAATTATTCAATTAATCATACATTCATTGATTCATACCTCCATTGAAATGCATATGACGAACAGACGAAGTGTCGATCGAAGTCACGCTGTCACGCTGTCACGAAGACACGAAGTCACGATTCACGAAGGACGAAGGCTCAAGGGCTGAAGGGCGGCTGTTGAACCTCGTCACTGCTGCGAACTGCCGGCGAACGGTGGACGAACAGACGGCTAGGCGAACAGACGAAGTCACGAACACACGAAGTCACGAAGGAGGAAGGACGAAGGCTCAAGGGCGGCTGTTGAACCTCGTCACTGCTGCGAAGTGCGAACTGCCGGCGAACGGACGAAGACTGCCGGCGAAGTGGCGAACGGACGAAGGCGAGGGCGATTGGGCGAATCGAAGAGAGAGAAATTGAAAATTGAAAAACTTAGGGTTTGGCTTTCAGGCTTTGGCTGGCTGGAAAATGTCGCAACGCAACTTGTAATTGCATTTTTTTTTTTTTTTTTTTTTTTTTTTTTAATTTTTTTTTTTTTAATTTTTTTTTTTGAAAATGGGGGGACAAGTGTCCCCACTCGTCCCCTTCTAGCTCCGCCCCTGGGAGGGATTATTGAATTATATAGGTGACAAATTGGTTGTAATGATTTTGAGCATGTGTAATCCTATTTTCTTTAGATACAAGCCCATAATCTCATATTCTCGCATTTGTCATAATTGATCAACCAAACCATAACAAGACTGTAGTATACCAAAAAGGCAAAATTATGTATTACCAAAAAAACCGAAAATAGCAATTTTACAAGAAAAGTTGAACGCTCAGCGTCGGGCCCGGCTTGGCTCGGCTCGGCTTGACCTTAAAGTGACTGGTTAAGCTTGGCTTGGCTCGAAGCTTCAAATAATAGTCAAACTCAGCTTGAGCCAAGCCTAAGCAGCTAAGCTTCGGCTGAGACAAACTGACGCCTGAAGGGGTCTATTAGGGAGAATGATTAAGCGAAAGAATAACTAAATATGGATCAATGTTTTCACATTGCAGAAGGTTAGGGCCCATTAATCAACGAAAACTTTATGGCCCAATGGGCTAAAATAAAGATAGCCAAGGCCCACCTATATAAAGCCCATATGTAGCACTGTCAAAAACCGAACCGAACTGTTTCAACCGATCCAAATGAGAACCGAACCGATTTTTTGAAACCGAAAACCGACTCGAACCGCATGTTAGTAAAACAGAAACCGAACCGATCCGAGTAAATGTTAAACCGTTTAAGAACCGAACCAAATCTAAACCGAACTGAAAGGAAACCGAACCGAAAATGAACCAAACCGTTTCTAACCCGAAACCGTTTAAATTGGCATAAAAACCGTTTACACCGAACCGTTAACAAACTGCAACCCATTTGCACCGAACTGATTATAAACCGAACCGCTTATAAATCGAACCGTTTATGAACCGAATTGCTTATAATTTGAACCGTTTACAAACCACTTCCTACTAGGGGTGGTTATTGGGCGGGTCAGTACTGGTCATTATCTCCTCAATTCATCCCTCGTTATTATGACCTCAGTATGATGTCCTGAGTTCGAAAAGAGATGGATTTTATGATTTCCATATTTCAAGAATGTTAAATGGTTTTAAATGCCTTACATTTAAAGAAAAAAAACACATAAGACTATCAGACAAGGTTCAAAGGAAGGGTAATGCAATGGGAAAACCAGAAAACAATATTGAGAAGATAAAGCAAGCATCTGAATATGGAAAATGCTATCGGTGCTAAAGCATGATCTTAAATTTGAACCATATATTCATGTAAGTGTTGCGCAGTTTTTGATCATAAGCTTATCGTTGACATATGCAAGTCCTGTTTGTTTTTCACCAATTAAATACTTCAAGATCCACCATAGTATAAAAGAAGTGGTTGTCAAGTGGAAAGCTAGCAACCATATAGTAGTGTAAGACACTAGATCCTTTACCATCATACTCCAAAATACAGAGTAGGCATACTTCGAGACAAATAAGAAACAACATATCAATAATGTAATGTGACTAAAACTATTAATACTTGTTCAATTAAGTATGGTTCTATGAGATTAGAACATTGTAGCAAAAGCCTAAACCACAATTTCATATATATCCTAATTACATTATTACATTAATGCAATAAACTTTTACAATATAATTTGTAATAAACTAGTAAGATCAGGATGGCTAAACTGGAAACATAACATGATATGTAATTATAAAATTAATGAGAATTTGCATATAATATGATGCCTCAATATGAAGTGATGAAATCTCGGCTTGATATAAAACTTGTTAACCAGCAAAAAGTTAGAAAGTAGTATAAAATTTCAAACCAAAATCGTTTAATTGCCCGAATCCAAATGACTCGATAAAAAACCGATTTTTTAAAATAAAAAACAGACCCGAACCGTAATTTAGTAAACCTGAAATAAAACCGATCCAAATATGTTAAATCGTAGAAGAATCGAACCCATTAACAAACCGAACCAGTTATAAATCGAACTAAAATAAAATTGAACCAAAAAAGAACCGAACCGTTTCTAACCCGAAATTGTTTGAATCGGGATAAAAACCGTTTACACCGAACCGTTAACAAACCGCAACCCGTCTGCACCGAACCGTTTACTACCCGGAGAACCGATTTCAAACCGAACCGAAATCGAACTGTCAAACCGTTTTGACAGTACTACGCCATATGATAAGGTGTGAGCTAAAATGTAGCCCAAACCCAATCCACAAGTATTTAATAATTTATGCTATGTAAATAATGTAATTTGTAAATAATGTAATTTTCACCTTATTTCAATAACTTTACTTAAACTTGTTAGAATTATAGCATCTTGTTTTTGTAACAGCCAAATAATGAGATTAGATATTCAGAAAATATGCATGGAAGCGAATCTAACAATTAACTCGTATAATAGTGATTTCTCTTATAATTAGCCTCAAAATAGTGATTCTTCTTATAATATAGCCTCCAAACAAAGTGTGACCTTGCTCAAATGATCACTTTGCACATCCTAATATCCTTTTATGATATAATTTCATGAACTTCAATTTAAACTTACAATACAACAGCAAAAAAAGCAAAAAAATAAGACACTATTTTATGAATAAAGAGAGTATAATTACGCACAATGATACTAGTAGTGTAGTTTTGCACAGCGACAAAAGACTGAAAACTCCAATTCACTAATGAATTTCAATTCAAGACAAAGAACATGATTTCACTTAAGAATATATTGTATAATTGGTAACTTTTTTAGAATATGAATTGTCAATTTTTTTGTATCATAATCAATCAAGTTACCAAAAGTTGTTAATTTCTACCGAGTTGATAATTATATATGGAGTACTTGTGAAAGGTCTTAATAACAGTACACTAAAATTATCATCTTTCATTTTCAAGGGTCTTCCATTCTTGAATTTATGTCCAATGTATTTCCTCTAATTTGGTCATATCACATCATAAATAGAACTATTTTGGATTCTATGTCTATCATATAATTGCACTACATATGGTATGTCTTTAATTGTTGTAATTTCTTTCAATATGCAATGTACATAATTTCTTCAGGGCACTGCAATTTGTCTCTAATAGGTTGCGTTTCATAGTTGAGTTTTATTACATTTGACGGTTAATTTTAACAATGCTAGTCAATTCATAGACGGAGTGTTTTCCTCTCTAGTTTTGTGCGCGCATTAGATTAAAGGTCAATTGGAAACATCCTCTCTTACCTTAGAAAGGACGGGAGTTTTACTAAAAACATTGCCTTATAATAAAAAGCTGTAAGGTTTTCACACTATTTGCAGAAGATTAATCTGAAAGTAATGTGGTAACTCTGGTGCTGAATATTTTGCTGCAGGAACACAGACTGTTAGTAGTACATCAGTAACATAGGAAAAAAAAGCTACATCTTAATAAGGGAAATGAGATGATTTGTGAAGTTTCTGTTATCTCAAGAATGAAGCTAGTCTGTTTTCCGAACTAGTTACTAGTTAGGCAATTAACAAGGGACGAAGTCTGAACTACTAGTCTACAACCAACATTTTGTTCTCTGTTAGTAGTGTATAGGTAACGAGCCGGACTATATTCCAAATGAAGGCACACTTCTGAGTTCTGACAATCGTCCCTATGATGCACCATATGCAGCCAATGATGCACCTGTCATGTTGCATTTGTGTTATACTAGGGAAAATAGGCCCCCATGGTCTTCATTCTTCAGGACTTTATGATCCTTCCTTACTACAAACGAAACGATAAAAAACTGAAGGCAACAATGATGACAGTAATACTCGAATCACCTGTAATGTACTAAGGTAAGGCCAAAGTTCCAATTGGTCTGGTGTATGAATAAGAAAAGTCATGCATCGTAGGGGAACTTACAAAATAATTGAGACAGAAAAACATCTGTTTACTGATTGTGGGACCCATTTCATTTTGGTATTTTTCCTTGGTTTTTCTTCTCAGAAGGGAGAAAAGGGAACAAAATCACCTGTTTTTCAAAGAGTTTTGTCAATTTTTTCGTCTATTATGAAGATTTCGACTTTCATGAGGGTAGAGTGAAGCAGGATGGGCCAGCAATGGATCCTTAAAGTTTTAGTAATTCCGGAACTAGGATGTTGTATGTGGTTGCTTGTCTTGAAAAGTTATTTCGTTTATGACCAGATATAAAAAGAGTTTGTTAAGTGACCAGATAATATGAAACGGAAGAAGTATGTTATACTGTATAAAATTCAGCTGTTTAAGTAATTAAGTGCTTATTTATCTTAGTTGTATTCTGAAATATAATCTGAAGAAATTGAACCAGTGAAAACTTCTGCAGTCAATTTCATTCACCCTAAACACAGACAAAAACTTACACACTCTCACTCACAAGTCAACCAATTCTCTCCTCTTAGAATATATGGTAGAAAAAAAGTAAGGCAATTCAAAATAATGGACATGGTAAGAGCAAAAATATTATTGTAAAGAAAAGGAAAAACTTTTCACAAGACTCAAGAAATGGAATTTCTCCACCTTCTCGGCGTTTTTCTGGTTTGTTCTGCTACTGGTTGATCAGAGCCATCATCATGAGAATCCATATTATTCATCTTTGCAAGTCTACTTAGCTTCTTCCACCCACTAGTCCATGCCGATGAAGAATGTTGTTTCGGTTTAGCCACTATTTTATCAAACTGCCTTTGTAAAGTCTCCATATCGTTCTGGAGTTCTACATACTTAGACTTCACTGTCTCCAGCTCAAACTTGAGTGTATTAATGTCCTTCTTTGCTGATGACCACCCTTCTTGGAACGACTGAGGAGTACCCTCAAGAAGGGTTTTTCGGGTTGAGACCATGGGCTGAAATTGGGACTCTACTGCAGTGTTGTCTTTCAGGGTGTTATTGGCTATCGCGTTGCTAATCTTAACCTGTTCTGAGAAGAGGACTTGCACCACTACCCTTAAGGGAAGCCTCTCATTTTGTGCTGCGTGCATACAGGCATCAATCGAAAGCTTCTGGCAGTCCATCACTCTACATAATCGTTTTCTTTCATGTTCTGACAGTGCAGGGTGTGCCTGTAAAATTTTAGAAGCAAATCACAACATATTGATGGGCCTAAAAATCGCCCTAAGTTGATTAATATGATTATTAGCTGACAGTTTACCACAGTAACCTGAGACTTGTCCTTAACAATTACTTATGTGAATAATTGCTTTGTTTTTCCAAGACAAAATTTAATGGCAAGATTAAAAATAAATAGACCTAATAATCAAAACAAGAAGATCAATATCGAAATACCTTGAGATAGGAGTCAATTGCTCTGTAAAGACCATCATCACAAGTTCTTGCAGATTCAGGAAGAGCCTCAGCAAGGACATGGAACTTGGTAAGCGAGAGATTCCTATCGCGAGCAATCTCTGTTAAGTAACTATCGACGAGCCTTGCTACTCTCATCTTTGCACTGGATGCACCCCCTCTTTGACTCTCCTCAAACATATTCTTTTCCATGTATGACCTGCTAGGACTGCTTACACACTCAGTCTGTTCTTGCACTAAGAAATGCTCCAGAAGTCTTTGAACTAAATCAACATCATATGTTGTATCACTTTTACTGTAAGATGGTATAAGAAGGTCTGACAAGGTTGCCTGCTCGAACTGCATACCAACGCGCTTTTCAAGCTCAGTGACCAAAGCGGGGGCTACCTTCAGCTTGTTAGCCATCCTCAGAAGCCTCAGTAGAAAGCTGCAGGAAACACTGTCCTTTTGGGGTGGAATAATACTAATCAGGCTCTCAATGATCATTCTTTGATCTTTTGCTTTAATTGCTTCAGGCTCTTCCTTCCCCGCGACTATCAAATGGAGCCCACCTTTCCAGCTTCCGGATCCACTGCCACTGCTGCTGCCATTGCTCTCTCTGCTGATATTCCCATTGCTGAGATCATCCAACATGGCTTCCCCACCACCATCCTTGATTAGTCCCGGTATCCATTTGGATGCATATTGCATAATCGAAGCACCAATTAACTCAAACCTCATTCCCTTCACCTTAATGGCTGTTATCACACGAACAAAGTGATCAATCCTAAGGATTGATACATCCTCAAACCACCAATCAGGAGGCACTTGAATCGCCCTACTTGGACTCGAGTCCTTAAGATCATTCCAACTGGGGCTTGAAACCTTTGAAGGTCTCCCGGTGTAGTTCCACCTTATGCCCTTGGGATTTACACAAGCCTTCCAAGCAATAGACTCGCTACACCTACGAACAATCTGCAGGTTTTCTGCCCAAGGCGAGAGCTTCTCACAGCTCTTTAAAACAATGATGGAGTCTCTCCAAGATGACAGAACTACATAGCTTAAGAAGGCTTCAGTTTTGAATATGAGGTTTCCTTCTTCTAGGTCCTCTGTCATTTCTAAATACTCTGCAGCACATCTTAGGCCCGAGATGTTGGCTGCTGTCAGATCAACCGCGATTCCATAGCAGAATTTCGCTGCTAACTCAAATGACTCCGGCCCACCAGGGAGATCATCCAAGTTTATCTTGTTTAAATCTCCTTCATGGGTCTCATAAATGATCCTACTCAATCTTCCACACCGCGAAATTAAAGGGTACTGCAGGAGGGATAATGAGTCAATTTTTCAATATTATGACCTTGTTCATTAGTGTAACATAATCATAATCTACAAAAATAAAGCAATCAAGCATTCAAATTTATAAGTTAAAGAGAATCGGTAAATATGACCATCAACCTAGAGCATTTAAGTTCTTAAATCTTCTCTTTTGACAGATCTGGTGGACCTGATGCATGCATGCATGCAGTCTGATGATCTAATCTATACATTCATGTGCAAGATATTAAGTACAGTTGGAAGTTGGAACAACGAGTTTCACAATAATATGAAAGGATCGAGATTCTCTCTAGTAAATTAGACGGAAAATAAGTAGAGGGTTTGGGGACAATTTTCGAACGGAATGGTCCAATAACTTAATAGGCTCTCATCTCATATTCTCATATGTGAGATACAAATATCATTATCTACAAAATAAATACACAAAAATAATAATAAAATTCGCCATTTGGAAAAAGAAAAAAAACACAAAAAAGGATTTAATCATAGATTAGCCAAAATAAGTATAGTTTTATCCTCTATTACCAACTTGTGGTTGGGGTTAGAAGTTGAAACTATTTTATGCAACAGCCTAATATCTACAGTTGAAAAGAAGTACAATTGATTGAAAAATGAGTAATCAATGATTCAATGTGAAATAATTTACACCAATTCCAAAAGAAAAAAAATTAAAAATAAAAATAAAAATTATGAACACAATATAACAATTAATTACCTTGTGTAAGTGAAAGTTAAATTCACTAATTTGGACCAGAAAATCACTTGGAACATCAGTTGCAACATACCTTCAATTACAAAATAAATTGAAAACAATTTGTCAGAAATTACTTCAAACTATGCCAGAGAGACTGAGACCAAGAAAGGATTATTCCTTAGTCCGAATTTAATAGTCACGCTGATAGTGTAATTTGAACTAGTAACGCGACAATTAAATCAGGACCGAGAAAGGGAGTACAAGTAAAACATACCATGATTGACCTCTTTGCTCAAACCCATCTGTTTTAACACCATGTTTGGCAGAAACATGAGCTCCATTTCCATACTCTCTACCTCCAAGAGACTCAGTTTCAGAGTCCCACATACTGAAACTTAAAAAAGCTAAGATTTTTCTTATGAAAATGAAGAAAAATGGAGAAATAATTCAAGAGAAGTAATCAAGAAATATAACATGAAATGGGAAGTTGTAAACATGGGCAATGTTTGGAATTATTTAACACCCAGCAAATAATTTCTTGGAATTTTTCACTGATTTCTTTCTCAAACTATTTCTGCAAAATACAGGCTGTTGAATGATGGGCAGAAATCTGAATAATTTTACTTCTAAAAATTCATCACTTCGTGAGATGATTTTTAATTTTAAAATAAAGATTGTGTTTTTATTTTTGCCCTGTAATTGGAGCAGCCATAAGTGGGAGATTTTAGCTTTTGCTTTGTCTGTCTTTCTTATGGTAGCTTTTAGTACTTAGTAAATTGTTACCATATTTAGAGCTTTTATGATCACAGAAATATCTTTTCTCTGTTCACTAAAATTGATTAAGATGTGAGTATATTGCTTGCCAACTAGGATTTTGATTGTACTTGTCATACTGTTACAAAATAACTAGATAGGAGTATATTACATGGTCGCATTTATGATGGTTACGTATCTAAAATGGCCTTTTTAATTATTACTCTAAATACTATCAATTTTGTTTGTTAAAATTGATTAATCATTTAATTGATCAAAACATGTTTAAGAAATGGCTGTGTTAATTAAAACTAAGTTCCATCAAAACTTATAATTGTCAATGATTAAATGAAAATTCACCGAAACTTCCTTCTTATTAATTAACTACTTTTAAAAAATAAGAATAATAATTATGAAAATCTATCCCAAAATATACTCCGTATTATGTAAAAAATGTAATAACATTGATCATGTTGACGAAACTTTATCCCGAATATATATTTTACCTTCACATTATTGTAAATTTTGTGACTAATCAATACCGCATTCAACATGGTAACTCAGTATTGAAATTAATGAAACATAAATATCATAAAATTAGGATATGTTCTGTTTACCTAATTTTTATTTATCTAAAAACTAAAAAAATTTATTTTTTACAAACTCGTCTTTACTTACCGGCCCAAATTAATTTTCCTAAAATGATTGAATTGAAGTGAATTTATAGAGTCCTAGAACGAAGTTGGCAAACATAAGTACATAACTATATACCTTGATATGATCAAGACCACCTTTTTTATAATCCGATTAGAAAATCACTATCATAATTATCACAATTTAATACCGCATACCAAACATGTGCTAACTATTGCCTATTGGTTTATAGGATTTAATTTTCGGATAACATGATCCTTTACTCCTCTATTGGTCACAAATTTCCTTCTCCTAGCGTAGTAGAAGGTTTTTTTTTTTTTTTTTCTTCCTATTTTAGTTCTAGATGAGTCACAAGAGCCACATCAACTATGAATAGAAGAAAATTTGAATCCATAGCTTATTATATATAGATCGTTAGATCAATTTTTGTCATTATACCAAGACCTGACCTTATCGGTAATTTGGAAGCATGCAATAGTAAATGGATAAAATGGTACTTATGGTAGTAATAGTGGTGCATGTATAGCTTGGAGCCTTGGACATTGTTAATAATGATAACATGGTGACAGTTAATATGTTTGGCATTCATAGTAATACCCCATTTGGTACAAAAATTAACTCAATCTTGTGCTCAAACTTTAATGCCAAATTCAATTAGCCTTTGTCACCTCAAAAGAGCCACCAATTCATGGGTCCCTTAATTTAAGTCACTTTCTCTTATTTGATTATTTCTTAGAAAATTTACACAACTGGATTTTTTATTTTTTTTTTTAGTTTTTTTTATTATTATTTTAATTTATTTATTTTGCTTTTGGGGTGTTGTCATACTTTGATATATCTACTTGAATTATGCCATTTTATTTTAATTTTATCTAGTCTATCCTTAGCTATATTTTTGACAATTCATTCATTTGTGGAGTATATTATATTGTTACAGAATTTTCAAATTGATGGTGAGATTGGGTTTAAATGTCACTATGACAGAATTTATGTCACAAAAATATTTCTTTTTTTAGATTGAGCAATTCTATTGCTATACTATAACAATCAATTCAGGGTAAGGTGAGACAAACGAGATTAGTCATCGACTACTCTGATAAGTTATTTTCGTTATCTTATAAATAGATGTTATACTTTATCCAATTCCCATCACCTCTTTTCAAAATTTAAAATTACATCACACATCTTATTCCTCCTCTTCAATTCGTTCAATATATCACCACAACCTTGCCCCTTTCAAGCATACCCTCTACAAAATTGTTCTTATTAATTAACTTCATATATACAAAAAATAGAATTATTTACTTGTTTTATTCTTTTATTTTTAAGACCTTGATATACCTAATGCGTATCATGTATAATTATGTCAACCAAACAACGATTATTCTATATTTCTATACAACACGTCTAATTAATTAAGGCAGATATATAATTAAAAGGCAATTAAGAAGATGCATGACGAAATTAAATCAAATGGATGGAGAAAAGGCACATGCATGCATTAATCTAAGCAGACACTAGATTTGTCCTATTAGGCATTCCACAATCGTGGGAATGTGGGATAGTTTAAATAGTCATGTCACAGTAACATTTAATCAAATCAACAGTTGACAGCCGTCAAAAAAATTATTTAATTAAATAAAAACTAGTTTCCCTTTCCTTTTTCTCTCATACTCGTAGAGGTAGAACAGGAAATACAGTAATTCATCTCGTGACAAAAGGTTGAATACTCGTAGTTGTTCAGAGTTACTTTGTATTAACCCTATTTCACAAGACATTCTAGCTTTAACAGAACTTAATTTGGAATAAAATATTCTACTAATGTTTTCTCTAAAAAACACTACTCTCTCGATCTCCTTAGTCCTTAGTTATGTATAGTGGCGGTTCTGGGCCGGAGCAAGGTGGTCGACGGAACAGGGCCCCCAAATTTAAGAGGCCCCAAAATTTAGATATATATAATTAAGTTTGGCATAATATCCTGAAATTGCAGTTGATGTAGTGGTTAGATCAATTGCCTTGTGTATACAAGGTTTTGGGTTCGAGACATGCATCAAACAATTTTCTAATTTCTTGGGGAGCTGACAGCTGGCTTCGATTTCCTCAAATTCATTGAATGTAGTCAGTAGTCTTCCAAAAGCTCCACCCAAAAAATCAGATTTCTTTTTTCCCCAAAATTTTTCAATCTACTATTTCAATTCCAAAAAAACTCTTTATCTTTCTAACTCTATATTTTTCATTTACTTTCTTTTATTATCTTCTTCATTTTCTTCAATTATTCAATCAGTTTTCAAAATTTTTCATCTCCCAAAATTATTTTTCCCTATATTAGTTCATAATTTCAACGGTTAAATCTTCAATTTGAAGATGAAATTAATTATTAAACCATTGTTAATCTCCCAATTTTTCCTATATATGCATTTTATTTACTCTTTCAATTTTACAAATAAAAAAGAAATCTTTAAGATAATCTTAAATCCAAAGTTCTTTTCAACTATTGTGAGTATAGGCTATAGCTAGTAATGGCAAAAAATTCATCACAAACCTCTTCGGATTCATCCCGGTACGACTTTTTGTTAAATTTTAATATCTGGGTATGTTGAATTATTTCTTGTTGTTTAATTTAATTGCATTTTTCTGATTTTTATTAACTTTTTTTTGTTGAATTTTGTGGGTGGGATTGTGGGATCAGAAAAAGGCCCCATTTTAAAAAGTTAAACAGGGTCCCATAAATAATTTGGCAATTTTAGCCTCAGCACTGGTCATGTACACCATGTAAGAAGTAGCTTGGGATATAAAAATTAATAAAAAGTTGTTACATCTTCTTATTTATGCTCCGTTGTTAAAAATATGTTCAATTTTATTTCGTAAAAGCAATAAAAATATGAATATCAACCTAAATACTAAAAAGATACTCAGTAATATACTCCTCAGTCAAGTAAGATATTATTAATTCATATTTTATACGGAGTAATTTTATTTTTGAAATTAAAAAATTATTTATTATTTAAGAAGTATTTTAAAGACAGTAAAAAAAATTACAGAGTATAATTTTTTAATAAAGAATACTAGAGAGAGTATTAGACAAATATTAAAGATTTATATTACTCCGTATATAACTTGAACCATGAAATTTCCTCCATTCAAAGGCCATCCAAATCAAAACTCAAAGGTACATGAGATAATTTTTTACTTTTGGGCCCATCATGTCATATTGATCAGTTAACTCCTTTAAATGGACTCCAATCCAACCCGAAAACCTATACTAAGGGGATGTTTGGTATGACTAATGGAAATGGAGTGGAAAGGAAACAACTAAGTAAGAGGAAATGAATCATTCAACTCTTACCTTTTCATTTGTTTGGTTTAATCATGGAATGAAATCATTTAAACCTATCTTCCTTTATTTTTGTTTGAGGAGAGTAAGGATAATTGTTACCTTCGATTTTAGAGAGGTAACAAATGGATGGAAAACATTACCCTTAGGTAATGGTAATTGTTATCCAAACCTTCCAACCAAACACTTGGTAACAGTAATAGTTTGTTTGAATCCGTTTCCAATCAAAAAAACACTCCAACCAAACATGCTCTTAGAATATTTTGACTTTTCATATGCAACGCATTAATGTATATATTAACGCTCATAATTGTTAAAAAAAAAATTGAAAATAACGATTGGGGTTTATATTATGATTAATTTGTTTAGTTATAGCATTATCTAAGGAAACCATTCAATTTAGATATAAAGTCGGAACAATATTTAGAAACAAAAGGAGTATTACAGTAGTAAAATTTCTATTTTTTAATAATATTAGATAAAATTTCTATATTAAGTGTGTAATGGTCCAGATGACATAATTGAAGTAGGTTGGAAGGTGGGTTATTTTATACAAGTAATAATTATACTAGTACGGTGTAGTAATCAATATACTCATCAATTGTCTCAATAGTGGTCACATTTTTCTTAAACTATGGCAATTAAATGACAAAGAGACGATGAAGTAAGTAAAACTATAGCAGACCACTTGGTGGTACATCAACTATTCTTAAAAATGTTTTTCAACATCATGTAAATTTATTAAAAAAAAAAAAAAAAAAAAGGTTTCCAAGTTGAATTGTTGAAAACAATAATTTTGTTACATAGTTGTTGCAACATCAAAATTGAGTTTCATTACCACATGGCCTAAACCGTACGGTATAATCGGTATAGAGATTCAATCAAGATCTCATAATTGGTTGTAACTAAACATATCACAAATTACAAGTACAACCCATAGTTGTTTTAGAATTTAGACTATTATTAGTGGCTTCTTCAACCTTCCTAAGCTGCACATCCTTTAACACAATTCTTGCCCATTCTCTAAAATA